TTACGCCTGTGTCTTGAGCGGACTAATTTAATTGCTGAAGATACAACTACTCCTAAAATTAAAACTTAATAAAAAGCAAAGGTAGCGTTTTGTACGCTGCCACTTCATTTAACCATTTTTCAGTCTGTCGATGATAAAATTAACTCCGCTTCGAAACGGAGGCCCCACCCCATGCTTCTACGATATTTTAACCTCGCAAGGGATGCTCTTCAGACATCGTACTTTAATTTAATTTTCAACCTCGTCGCTAATACATGATTTTAAGTAAGTAATCTCTTGGTTAAACTTTGTATAAGTATCCCGTCTCGAAAATTTTTGATAAAATTATTAACTTTTATTATAATTAATTTATAATTCCTTTATAAGGACCTCGTGGTTAAGTGTGTTTACTTGGCATAATTGTAACCCGTATTTCGAAACCCATTTCGCTAAAATTATTTTCGGTACGGTATATTCGGTACAGTAAAACTTTTACCGTACCGAATATTCGGCCGAAAATTATTCGGCAGGATCACCTCGGTACCTAACCAATTTATTTCGAAACTTGTCACCGTAAAGCGAGCGGGATTAGAGCTGGACCCTGACCCTCGCTCCCCCGCTAAACCTGACATGTTATTGCATCATCTAGTACTGATCTATTTTCGAGATGAATGTGCTGTTAGACCATGCGGCTCTTACAGCTTCATCAGACTCAGGGCTAAGGCCGCGAGCTAAGACTGAGCAAAGACTACAATATTATATAGGTACTGAGCAAATTGCCGGCATATGCTTACGTTTTGACTATTTTTGTAAGAAAAAAACTATTTCGTTGTATCATTCTAAGTAAAAATTCGTAATTATATGATAAAAATGAGTGTCAGGAGATCCACTATTTGTACTTATTTTAGAGAAACTGACGACCAAAGTAAAATGAAATGAACTAATGTAATGTAATGTTTCTTTGTTTGATTCCAAAAATATTTTATCAAGCTTTCTATTTGATATAATTGGAAATAAATCTACAGTGCCTCAAAAACATAACGCTATGCAAGTAGATTTAACCCATAAATAAAATACACTTTCAACAGTAAAATTATAAAAGACATGGCATTACTCAATGCGTCCATCTCAATACAGTGGACAACTTAAGAACCACTTTAACGAATGTTCGCTGATTTAGCCTAATATATAGATTTCTGTCGCAGCGTCACACGCACACTTCGTAATTCAGCATTTTAATTGCGATTTAAATTTCAATGTTGCTAACAGTGATTAACTCTGATTGTTCGCTTGATTTAAGACGGTGGTGTAGCTTTTGGGCTATTATAACTTTTATCATTTTTAACATAATTAAACATGAGCTAACAATCCGCATGGTTGCCTGTTATACTAGATTCTTCTCCTTATATTAGTCTGTAACACTCCACAGCTTAACATGAACCTATCCCTTTATCTATACTACTAATATAATAAAGCGGAAGAGTTTTTTTTTTGTTTGTTTTAAAACGCTAATCTTTTATTTAATCTTTATTTTTTATAATCTTTAAGATCCATTAAAACTGGCGTGGAAGAACATATAAATGACGACGTGAAGCACCGACGCTCCGGGAAGTCTGCAGTCTGTGAACATGTTTAAGATCGTCCCCACCATTACATCATATTTGATAAACCACAAATCCCCGCAAAAGAACACCGATTCCTACCAAGGATGATACGCTAGGCTACTGAAATTTAAAAAAACATACTAATTTAATAGATAAGATGGATAGGTGCTGCCATCTGCTTGGAATCCTTTAATTAATTAAATTAAACCAAACCCAAACATATCACTCCAAGGCTTCAAGATACTGTAAGCTCGTTCTACGTAGATCGAACTGAAAATCAATATTAAAAAACTGAAGGTAGCCGGGCTAACTATGACATTGGTCTAACATCCCAGTCCCCCACCCCCCCGTGACCGTGGGTAGGTACTGTAAAGAAACTGAAACGTCGGGAATTAAAAATAAGTTAAAATAAGTAAATTAACCGCGATGGAATCCGTACATATATTTAGTCTTATTCAATGTATAGTGTTTGTGTAAATTTATGAAATGATACTTGATAAACTTGCTATCAACCTCTTATACACACAAAAGCGATATCACTTATAGATTCCACGCGGTTCGCCACGAAAATATGATTTTTTTTAATCATTTATCGATCATTTTTTCGAGAGAGGTGTTTGAGTTTAGTTTTCTCAAAAATTTCCCACTTTGTCGCCAAGATACAAATCTAGCCAGTAGCATTTCTTACACAAGATCCGTATTTATTCGGTTGGTGTTTTTAATTTATTAATTGTTGTAAAATTCGAAGACTACCTACATCCTACATTATATCCAATTATGTGTAATATTCAACTGTACGCTCAATTAAGTATATTTTGTTACATTTAGTTTCTCAGTAAACGAATTATTGTTAATTCTTAACGAGAAATAAAGTTCTTAAACTATATATATATATATATATATATATATATATATATATTTATATATGATATAGTATAGAACAGATATATGTATATGTTAAAAATAAGTTAATTTATTTCTAAACTCTTTCATTTCACGTTGCTATGCTATTTTGAAAATTTAATAGATTCGGTCATTCAGCGAAATATAAAATATATGTTTTAGCTGAAATAGTGGAAAAATTAATGGAGTACTTTTATCTATCTACTTTTATAATATGTACGTTAGGCTCGCTGTAAATTTCGCAGTACGCGAGCAACCCGGGTTCGATCCCCGCCGGCACCTATGAAATTGTTAATTGTAACCTGCATGTAATGAAAAATGAAAAGAATTAAAAAAATATTTCGAAGACATGTGAAGCCCGCCAACACGCATTTAGCGACACTTCCTTGCCCGTAAGCGCCCTCAGAAGTGATAGGACGCCTGTGCCCAACAGTGGGCCACATATTATATAAGCTGTAACTTTATACGTACATTATAGAGCAAAGTTATATTTTATCCACTCAAACTCTCGACACTCCCGTATAAGTGTCCCGCTCCCGCGGCCCAACAAACATTATCCCGCAACGTGATTTTTCCAGTTTTAAAGAAAACACGATACTTGAAGTGTGTAAGTGTGACGGATAGTGGATAAAATATAACTTCGCTCTATAACATACATATGCCGATATATACAAGTAGGTACTCTGGAATAGGTGTCATGTCATATTGCGCGGCCCAGATGCGTGATATATGCTAGTAGAGGATATGCCTTGGTCGTCACGCTTTGCGGGCGGATTGATTATCGCAGTACCAAAAATCTCGCACCTTTGACAGTTGTATTACGGTCGGCAGAGTGTAGAGCTAAAGACAGAGAGTATAATTATTACTACGTTATAGCTGGCTCTCCTGGGTAATTAATTATAATCTGTGAGGCATATTATCTAGTCCTCAAAGTTGATGACAATGCATCTTTACTCTTCATTATTTAAAGTTGGCTATACTCGTAGTTACATGGACTGTATAAGTTGGGTATTTTTGTTACTACAATAAGATGACTATCGGATTTATTGGAAATAACACTCAGCTGACTTACTTCAAAAGTTTTTTTTTTGTTTAAATAGCTTCGATCGGAAAGTTCGTATCACTGACACTTTCTGTTCTCGAATGCGTCAGTATCAAAGTAAATAACTCTGAATAAGGTGCACAGACTGCAGTTCATTGGAACAGTGTTCAGTAGCAATCTTCATAGCGGGTTTTTGCCATAGTTGCCATACTTACCAGGTGGTTTGCCAACGCGTTATTATTACTTTGGGTTGTAATCGGAGAGTTGTAGTCATTTGTTTCAGTAACCCTCTGTCGCCTCTTACGACACCCATGGGACGAAATGTTGTGGATATTCTTACAACTCCACTACACTGTTTACTTTTTACTAATTACATCCTTATCTTCGAAAATTATTATTTCCTGTGTCTATACACTGCGTCACAACACTGCTGATGTTACCGCTAAGAGGAAAGGACCTCTGTGTTTGCGTGTAAATGTCGGCGCTGACTTATGTCATACCCAGTAATGGTGACAGCTGAGAAATATTTATTTAAATTATACGTTGACTCTACACGGCCTCCCCCAAAGATTGCCTTACAGGGGGGATATTTGCCATAGTTGCGACGCTTGGCAAGTGGGGTGGCAACCCCAGTTTCTTATTTTCGGTCGTTAATTAAATAGACGCTGCTACTCCATCTCCCGTTTTGTTTCGTTTTGTCGCCTTCTACGGCACCCACGGGATATTATGCGGTAGTGGATATTCTTATACCGCCACTGTCGCTTATTTTTAGATAGTATTTATTATAGGCCTACAGTTTCTTTTATGGTACTCTTGATTTACGTGGGCGACTCTAAGGATAGTTTTAAGGCGTTGGTGATTTACGGGAAAGTTCGTACGGTGTTTATCTTAGGATCACACTGCCGGGAGCTAATAGATGGATAGGGGACTATGACTATTTTCGAACGGACTTAGCATGTGAATGATTTCATGTTGATTTTATTTTATTTTTTCAAAAAGGAAAGTTTAGTTTAGTAAGAAAGTAAGTAACATTTGAATACAATTTCTTTTACTTAAATGTTGTCATTTTCTTTATATCATTCAAAATTATTATTCGATAGATACCTTTACGCGGTCCGGGGTAATTTTAAAAGTAATGTTCGGGATTATCTACGCCAAATGATGAAAATAAAAAAAAAACTTTAAAAAAATTATTTAATAAAATCTTGAATCTTATCTCAAATATTTTGCGCAACTATTACAATACAATTCTGAAACAGTAATAATATAACACAAATCACCTCTATATAATACATCAAATATAAATATAATACAATAAATCAACATAGTCAAATACATACAGTGATTTGAGTGATAAAGGAGAAGTTTTTATGATAAATAACTGCAAGTAGTTACTTATTTGTCGTAAAAATTTTGTCACATACGTTTTCTTTATGTCCTTTTAAAACTATCTGAATAATATCAAATATTATTTAAAACCAAAGGCCATCCTCTGCTTCCTCTTCACTGTCTGTGACTTGAAGATCATCTTGTATGGCTGGATCCGGCTAAAACGAATATGAAGTCAGATTAAAAAAAAAACATGCACGCAGTTCACACGCGTCAGAAGTCATAACCTCAAAGTAAATGAAATATAAAATAAAAATATTTCACGGCACAAGATTACAACAAGCACGGCATAATAAATAAAGAATAAGAAATACATATAAGATAAAAGTTTAATTTTATAGCAAATAAATGTTGCAATCATTATTTTTAGACAATTAAATTTTTTGTGTAATAAATCAAAAGAATTTTATTTTTCGAGTATAATTGCTTTGTAATATCGCCATCAACTTCATTCTTCAGATAAAGTAATTTTATCAAACAAAATTTGTTGACTCTCAAGGTACTATGTAAAATTGACGCTAGATGGCCTCACCACGACTATTTTATATAATATAATTCTCTCGCACGCTAAATCCTATAGATGTATGTATATGGTTGTCTCTTTTTCGTGTTGCTTTTTCGTTTCGAGTTTCAAATCTCAACGATAGAAGTTTTTGAAGTGTAAAAACAATAAATAGATAATTATATACTTCGGTCAATTCACTACAGTTTAGTTTTCCGTCGTCGACACGAATGTTTGATTCAAGTTTTTGAACGAACTCTCTCACATTCAGACGAATGTATGGAGTTGCATGAATGATAGATCGCCTAGCGTAGTGAAAACAAAAGAGTTTCGTCACTTCGAACAAAATAATACAAGAATAATATTAAATTTAAATATTTATATATCTAACCTGCCAGTTTTCTGGTGGTTCTTCTTTAAACTGCGGTGGATCTATTGGAGGCGGTACACCCATCATCTGTTGCTCCATGTTCAAATTCAATTGTTCAGGTTCAGGTTCAATTGGTTCCTCCTATTAATCAAAATAAAATTAAGTTAAAAATCAAATAGATAAAAAACATAAAAATATATTTAATGCACTGTCATACTATAGAAGACTGGAATACTGATTTTCAAAAATGAACTCAGTAAACGTGATACACCATCTAATCGACTTTTATAAGATAACTAGACGTGATCATTCCAACCATCATTCGTGCCTTGATATGGTTCTAGTTGACCAATGTGTACTTTTTTTATAGAATAAGGGAGTCCTCACATTTATCAGAAATTCAAATCGTATCCACCCTACTTTACGAACGGCAATAAAACAATAAATTTAGTAGGCATTTTTGACCTTGTTACTTCACAGGGTCACAGGTTCACGGGCAAAGCCGCCCGCGCTCTCAACTCCTCAGTTACTCCTGATTAGATGTGGCGTGACGTCACATCACCGGCATATTGTTTATGTTTCCGCGTGTGTATCGTAAACATGTACCAATACTCTAATGTCGAGTATCTAACAATGACAATCCAATTTGGTGATAGGTGGATAGGTCGCGGTTGACCTGTGAACTGTCCAGTTAGGTCACCAGACCTAGCACCTCTAGATTTTTATTTGTAGGCCGAACTAAAACGATTAGTGTGATAAAAAGTGATACGACATGCTTCAAAGTTTAACAAACAATTTACATTTTGACATTATGAAAAATTACTGCGATATCGCTTAAAAGGTAGTTTTCTTTGTAAATCTCAATAATGTAGTATTATTTTGTAAATATCAATCAGTGTAGTTCGTAAATAAGTTGATTTCGTTCTTTTAAATACGCCAAGATTTTGCAGTATAAGGTAGGCATAAAAATTATATTAGAAACTGTTTATCAATTCATTATATAATAAATCAAATTATATAATCAATTCATTATATAAATAAAATTTAACATGAAATTCTTCCCTACTACAGCATATTAGACTGTCCTAAGCCCGTAAAAGTATGAAGGAAAGATCGAAATCACAAAAAGAATAATCTAAAACGAAAGGTAAATTACATACCGTTTTCTGTTTCACATTTTTTTGCTGTTTACAGACATCTGACACGCGACAGCATTATTAATGAAAGAGTGGAATGAGAAGTGCTGCTATTTTAAATATTTTTCTTTTATCGACCAACTATTTCACTAATAAATTGAAATGAAATGAATGATTTTATTCAATATTGATTTTTGTATAATACTTATTGAACGTCATTTTTTATTTACCATTTACCACTGGTTCGCAAATAAAAAACCTCTGTTTTGGGAAGAACCAGCAAGAAGAAACCCAGCGGGACTTTTTTAAACATATTTCAATGAATTTATTTTGTACAATTTTTGTATGATTTTTATAGAACCAGCATGGTGGCGATCACCTCATTCCCAGGCGTTATTTTCATTTATGTATTCATTTATATTATAATAACCCTATTTGTACAATTTTTCTTTAATAAAATATTCAAACTTGTTTAATGACAAATTTGAGAGCCGTGGTAGCTCAGATGGTTAACGCTCGGTGTAAATATAACAGAACGCGAGTAACCCGGGTTCGATCCCCGCCGGCACCAATGAAATTGTTAATTGCAATTTTAAGTGCTGATTTACCACGTGCTCGGCGGTGAAGGAAAACATCGTGAGGAAACCTGCATGTCTGAGGAATAAGAAAAAAAATATTTTCGAAGACGTGTGAAGTTCGCCAACACGCATTGGGGCTGCGCGGCGGACACTTCCTTGCCCTAAAACCCTCTCAGAAGTGAGGGGAGGCCTGTGCCTAGCAGTGGAACATATATAGGCTGTAACTTTACTTTACTTTACTATTGACAAATTTGTACATTGCCCCATAAATGAATTACAATTCTGTGGAGTCTAGTAACTGCTATTACAAGCTTATCTTTGTTCTTAGTGTTCGAAGTATGAACATCTTTATTCTTATTAAAGCTATTTATATTTTTATATATATACATTTCATTTTCATAAATATATTGCGATGCCAAAGTTAATATGTTTATTTCCTTAATTTTTTCTCTAAGCGACTCTTTACAATTTAAGTTATAAATTGCCCGTACTGCTCTCTTTTGCAAAACAAAATATGACTTCACTGTCAGTGTAATCTCCAGTATATGATAATCTTGATTATCGATTAGTAGGCAGTAACTAGTACTGGGATGTCTACTTACACCATCAACGAACGGCTTTAAGTGCTTTCCAAGGAACGGGGGTGAGACACCGACAATATTTCTGACTCCGGGCAGCTACTGATAATTTCTTGTAGGAAAACCTCAATAAATAGATTTTTTTGTTCCGACCCGGAAATCCAACCCAGGACCTCATGATCAGCTGTCTCAATACTACAACTACTAGACTAACGAGGCAGTCCAAATCAAAAATAAATATCCAAAGTAAAGTAGTAAGTAGTAAATACTTATAGGAGAAAAATATTTTTTCTCCTATAAATATTTAGTCTTATAAGTATTGAGGAGAAAAATAATTTTTGGTAACATAAGGCGCGCGTCAGCTGATTCTTATTGGCTGCAACGATTTTGTCGCTTCCCTCCCACTCGGCCACCCGGCGCTTACATAACGAAAGATGTGCATGCGTCTCGCTCGCTCTTACAACTTTATTTCACTAGCGATCGTAGCCTATTTTTAGTTTTACGCAAATGCCGTAGGATGAATTGTTTTTATGTATATCTACACCAATATTACAAAGAGGAAAGACTTGTTTGTTTGAATTGAATAGACTCCGAAACTACTGGACTGATTAGAAAAATGCTTTCACCATTGAAATCCTACATTATTATCTTTCCGGCAACGCGTTGCAATTCCCTCGGGCGGGTTATTTGTTTTTCCTTAAAAAAAAAAAAAACATTTGATAAAAATAGGCTATAGTATATTTTCAAAAAGTTAGGGTCCCGTATAAAAACCTTGTTAATTTAACGCACAGTTTAAAAAAAAAAAACAAAAAAATCCTTATATTGCGTACGCTGCGAAAACTATTAATAATAGATCAAAGTGACGTACTACAGTTTTATAGAAAATATCAATATCTACAAAAAAGTCTGATACCATATGTCTAACTATTACAATTGTCACATCAATCAGCTAGTTTGGCTATATTTTACAAATAATTTTGAGAATAGCTTCTATTCCACTTACACAAAACACTATATTATTTTCCAGACGGTAAAAATAGTCACCCAGTATAAAGCATAGACAGATATTGTTACCGTTAATAGTTTTTATTTCATTTTATGAACGTACCTTAACAACAGGCGGGAACGTATAATCTGTGCTACGATCCAAATCAACGAAGTCGTCGCTTTGTTGCGGTGGCTCGTCGGGAACTTCCCGTTTGATTTTGAGGAACTCGGAAGTGTCGAAACTGGACTCGCCGTGCATATTATTATCCTCCACTGAAATATTTACGAATACATTACATGACATATTTCAATATTCATACATATTGATAAGCGAAAACACATAATATGAGATTAAAATGGAAAGTCAAAACAGTTTTCAATTTATAACAGTCCACGGCTGAATACAGGTCTTTGTTATTGGAGGCTCGGGAGAATTTTTCTTACTCTTATGTGAAATATTTAAACAGAGTATTGTGTTGTCTTATGACACCACCACACGGAAATATGTCAACAATTTCCTTGCGTATAAAATATGTCATGAAAGTTTACCTGGAGGTACATGTAATTCGACCAAAGAGTCTTTTTGCTCCACCTCCTCTAGCTCTGAACTGCCACTGTCAGAATATTGAAGGTCTGAAACAGACATAAAAGAATAAACTCGTTAAAATGTGTATTTAACCAGTGACAAACGTGTTCAACAGTGAATAAAAACCGTAAGAAAACTAAAACATTAAATATTACATCGAGAAACACACGTAGCTCCTTAACTTCCACTACAGCAGCGCGGTGGCTTCTTTCCGCTCAATTTTTAATTTTACGAGTACAATACTGAGAAATTAAATCAAATGTATAATATAATGAGATATACAAAATTTATTTAAATCTAGTTGTCTAATATTCACAACACTAACCTTCTTCCAAACTATTTTGATCTTTTTTGGGTCTTCCGCGCTTTCTGGGGGTAGCACCTGAAAATATACATGATCATCTGAACCATTTGTCGCAGTTCTAAAGTAAGAAAGCTTAATTACCCACAATATATCTAAACAGTTGTATAATAAATCTTATATTTACGCATTACGTCTGCAGTTCTCTAATTAACATGTTCGTAAACTGCAAGCTAACAAAAACGACGATATTTAAAATCAGAAAATATTTTTCTGATTTTAAACATATTTCTCTCTTACTAAAGTTTTGAACGGCTCGGATTGAAAAAGTTCAAGTTATCTCAGTATTATTAGTACGAGGAACATAGGTCTAGTCGATAGGTAGTTATACTTATATACTGCCGTGTAGTGGCGACATTACGGAAACCATCACTGGAGTCGGTAGCAAATACATACAATATAATCAGGGTTATTTTGCAATAACCTGCCAAATTTGCGGAGAAGGTTCAGAATAAGTAATATAGGCTAGAGGTAAAGAAAAATTAATTCAATAAAAACTCAAACATTCTGTCCTTTTTATCTTAAATTCAAAATGCGTGGTAATGCATTATTTTAACTGATTTTACTGTGTACGCACATTCGTAAGGGTCCATCGATATACAATAAATATATAATAACTGTATATCATTATGTATATATTTGAACTTACTTAAAATTTGGCTACTCTTTGAAAAATAACTCTGTATATTACACGCCATCTGTTGAAGATTATTGGTTCTTCTGGGCATTGCCCATAGTCGACTGTCGTACTGTCATTAACACTGGTTCGAATTCTGCAATTATTCACATTTCAAACTAATATAAACCAGTGCTTAACTACTATCCGACTTGCAAGTAATTTGTGATGTAGCCGACGATGGTAACACTCAATGACAACTTTATTGAATTCGTTTATTTGATTTCAAGTTACTTAGACTCTTATTAGCTTAGTAAATAGATGTTATTAGCATTAAAACAAAAAAAATATATTATAAATTTAACTATGCATTAAATATTGTACGTAGTGTAGGGCGACCCCCCACTAGATGGAGTGACGACCTTGTAAGATATGGATGAAGTCGATGGATGCAGGTGGCTCAGGACCGTGCTTCGTGGCATTCCTCGGGGGAAGCCTATGTTTAACAGTGGTCTTGTGAAGGGCTGTAATGACGATGATGATGATAATGATTAACTACTGTGTATATGCATTTGACAACAGTAAAGTATATATGGGACAATTTACTTTGTCCCTTTTCATTCTTAGAAAGTTTCTAATGTTAGCAAAATATTTTTTAACTGGAAAATAAATGATTTAAATGTGACAAATAGAGTAAATTGGATGTTTCTATACCATCTCCTGTTGAAGTTGAAGGTTTATGCTTCTTTGGTCGACCGCGTCCGCGTTTCTCATCGGACGACTGCGGTATTTCTTCTGACTCCAAGTCAGACTGTTCTGCATCTTCCAGCATTTTTTGCTGCACTTTGGATATATTCGCTTCCAACTGGCTCACGTGTTCACCAAACTAAATTGAATCGAAATTAAAACCGAAAAGTTTTAAATATGAATTACAACATAAGTCTCATGTGTCATATGTGTGTCTAAGAGATATTTTGCGATAAGATGACGGTGCAAAAGAATCAATAACCCTTGGGAGCTCCAAAAGGATCGCATAGACGAATAGATAACGGTGAAAGAGATTTTACATCCTTATATACAAATATTATACAAAACACCATACATAGTATTATTAGCAAAACAAAAAAAGGAAATATCAAATTGAATCATTATAGATCAGAAGCTCTGAAAATAAACGACGCTAGTTAATAATAACACACTCAAAATATATATCACTGTCGTTTTACCTGTTCAAGGGCTTCCCGAGTAACTTTCAATATAGTCTCGGCCTGTCGAGTGAACTGCGAATTGATCCCATTGTATGCGCGACAATTGTCCACAAGCAGTTGGACATCTTTCAAGAAGTCTTCGCGACTATGATATTTGTGAGCTGTAAAATTAATGATTTCAATTAATCTTTACCAGCTACTAAGTAGACTTGCAACGAATATTCGGTTATTATATTCGGTATTCGGCCTATTCGGCTACTTCATTGATAATTGGTAAAATGAAAATATTTATTTTACACATGTATACTCAAAGTCGCTCAGCGAGCTATGGAGAGGGCTATGCTCGGAGTTTCTCTGCGTAATAAACTTAGGGATGAGGATATCCGCAGAAGAACCCAAGTGACCGAAATAGCCCAATGGATTAGTAAACTGAAGTGACATTGCGCCGGCCACATAGCTCGAAGAACCGATAACCGATGGGTAAAAATGGTTCTCGAGTGACAGCATCGTACCGGCAGGCAAAGTGTAGGGCACCCCTCCACTAGATGGAGTGACGACCTGGTAAGACATGCAGGACGTCGATGGATTCAGGTGGCTCAGGACCGTGCTTTGTGGCATTCCTTGCGGGAGGCCTATGTTCAGTAGTGGGCTAGTGGAGGGCTGTAATGATGATGATGACTCTATTAAGAATCAAAATGTCGTCTACCCTAACGACTAAGCTAGAATGCCTCGTTACCAGTAAAAAGGGTTTCACTTTTCTCCTAACTCACTGCGACCATAATATAACTCACAGCGTGGCTTTACCACCGCTGGGTATAAAATTTTCCAGGAGTGATTATTTGCTCACATCACGCGTTAAACATGGAGCCTATACTTTTGCACAGATAGAACTAGTGCCCTGTCATCCGCTTATAAAATAAGAGCCCATCGTTTTTTGAGTGGAATTCACTTCATCATTATTTTGCTAGGACTTCGTCCGATATTCAGCACATAGGGAAGGTTGACACTTGGAAATAAAATTGACAATGCTCAGATACCCTATTTCTCTCAGCTTGTACGTTTAAACGAAATTATGCAATCTTCTTGCATAATTTCGTTTCGTTCGTTTACAGTTCGGTGGCGGCGTAAAAAACTATCCCATTTCTACTTATGGACGTTGTAAACTATGGGCAAAAGGAGAAAAATCTTATGGCATTCAATGAGGGTTAAAAAATCTTCTAATCACCAGATGTCGCTAGTTGACACCGAGATGAAGTTTTTTTGTTATACAATTAAATTTAATTAAAAAGCTTCTAGAATATTATATTAATACACAAAACAATGCCTACATGTTTGCTCTTTAATTTTTTGAACATTTTTAACTCTTTTATTTTTTTTACTTTTATAAACATGTGTGGTTTGGTTTATTTATTTTTTATCTAATTAATATGAAATATAACTCTAGTACAAAAAGAAACAATACAACATTTTTCAAACAAATTAAGCTAATTTGTTTGAAAAATGTTTGGTGAAATCTCCGTTTTGAAATCTGTCAAATATTACACGTCATTTTTATGTGGCGCCGCCCTGGTGTTGGAAAAAGTCGTGGATTTCGCCCTCAATGATAGTAGTTAACTACGAGGGCAGCACTGAAAATTTCGGGAATCAAGGAAGTGACACAACATTACTATTTAAAAATGTATTTATTGCTTTTCGAAGTATTCTCCGCGAAATTTTACATATTTTTCCATACGATGGAACCAATCATTGAAGCAACCATTCCATTCGGAAGTTGGGGTCTCCAAAATGGCCGTTTTTTGGCGTCCATAGCTTCTTCAGGTGATGAAAGTCTCTGTCCACGCAATTTATTCTTTATTTTAGGGAAAGTATAGAAATCGTTAGGGCTTAGGTCGGGGCTGTACGGCGGATGGTCTAATAATTCTATGTTTTCTTGCTCTAAAAACTCTTTTGTTCTGTTTGCGGTGTCAGAACTCCCATTGTCGTGATGGAGGATGATGCGGCGGTTGCAGTTCTCTTTACGGAGTTCAGAAACGACCTGTGGCAAACAAATGCTAGCATACCATTCTGCATTAACCGTTCTTTGTCCCTCAAGAGGAATAGTCGTAACATGGCCGGTTTTGGAGACAAACGTGGCCACCATTTTTTTTGCAACACTTCGTGAACGAACAATTTTTGTTGGCTTTAACTCATTTTCGAACACCCAAACTCGTGGCTGGTTTTTTGTTTCGGGTTCGTACGCGTATATCCAGGATTCGTCACCTGATACGATGTTGTATACAGCATTTGAGGATCCTGCGTGGGATCTTTCGAGAGTTCTGACGCACCAAGTAACGCGAGCCGCATTTTGCTCTTCACAGAGCGAATGCGGTATCCATCGGGAAACAACTTTTTTACACCTAATTGTTCAATCAAGATTATTTGTATTTGACTCATGCCAATGTCTAAAGTTGCCTGAATTTCGCGGTATGTCACATGTCGATCTTCCTCAATCAGCTTACGCACAGCATCAACGTTTTCTTGGGTGACTGCAGTTTTTGGACGACCTTGACGGGGATCATCACTGAGCTTGACACGTCCACGTTGAAATTCAGCAAACCAGCGATAAATTGTGGTTTTGGATGGGTCTTCATCACCAAATGCAGAAATCATCCAATCATCCGGTCAACACACTGTTTTTGTGTTAAACCACTTCGAGTCATAATAAATCATCGCTCTTGAATTTTCTCGAGTCAATTCCATTTTCTCAATGGGTGCGTTTGGCAGAAAAAAGCGCTAGCAAGCGCTTGTAAGCAAAATGGCGATCGTAAGCGGTAAGCGCTGTCAAATCGTAAGTAGCTATTTTCCTCCAGGACACGATGTTAGTTTTAACCGTGGAATCTAACCTAATTTAAATATATGTTTGTAAAATATTCATATTAAAAACTTACCAATCATGAGTTTTTAATAGCATGTATATGTTTATTCATGTCATTATATTACTTAAAACTAATATTGCACAAAACAACTTATAAACTCTACTTCAAAACAAACAAATTAAATAAGCAAAATGGCGGATTGTGTCAGCGCTACTGAAGTAGCAATCGTGTCCTGGCCGAAAACTATTTTAGCGCTTATAAGCGCTTGCTAGCGCTTTTTTCTGCCAAACGCACCCATTGACTAAACAAGTTTGACAAAAGCTTGTGACAAGACCGAGAATCTTTTTTTAAATAAATAAATGGTATTCGATTTTTAAAACCAAGGAGTTTTCAATTAAAAAGATTTTAATATGACAGGAACAGTGGAAATATTCCATTCCCTATACTTTTAGTGCAGCCTAGTACCTTGTATATGCTAAACATAAATATCCAAACAGGAAATGTGTATCCGCCTACTAAATGTGAGCCCCGGGTTCGATCCCCGCCGGCACCAATTAAATTGTTAGTTGCAATTTTAAGTGTCGATTTACAACGTGCTTGGCGGTGAAGGAAAACATCGTGAGAAAACCTGCATGTCTGAGGAATAAGAAAAAAATATTTCGTAGACGTGAAGTACGCCAACGCGCATTGGGGCAGCGCGGCGGACACTTCCTTGCCCTAAAACCCTCTCAGAAATGAGAGGAGGCCTGTGCCCAGCAGTGGGACGTATATAGGCTGTAACTTTACTTTTACTTTACTACTAAATGTGGCGGTTGTGGTATACACTATATATATATATATAAGAAAATGCCAATGACCAGCCAGCTGACATTTTCCTAAAAATCTCAAAGCAAGCTTAACTAAAATAAAGATAGTACCTTGTATCTTCTTGCCCATGGTTTCCATATCAATTGGCTTTTTGATAACATTATAATAATCTTTGACCTGCTTCTTGTTAACAGGCTTCACAAATGGCCACGCTTCTGGCATTACCTTCAGTTTAGTTGTCAATAAATTCTCCAATATAAATGACAACGCCACCTGGTAAAGATAACATAATTCAAGATAAATTATCTTCTTATCTGTTTTGCCAAGCAAAAGTGCATCCAAGCTGTGTTATGATTTAAGGGAAGAACTAGTATGATTACAAGTTGTAAAGCATTTCATCTGAGTCCTGGGAGATTTATTTATTTAACTTTGTTTAATGAATATTGATGAATGGATCCGGTTCCGGTGATCAAAGTGTAAACACGTACAAGTGAGAGCTCCGTAAATATTTCCAATTAAACAGTGCAAAAAACGAAAAACCGAACGTATACTACAGTGAAAAGTTCAGAAGTTCAAACCAGAAGAGTGTTTCAACAGAAATTACAGTGAAATAACTAATTTTGTGGCGATTCTGTTCAAACAAAGTTCTGATCGTTATAACCTCAAAGTTAAGCACACACACCATAGATACCAAGATTATAGGTAGTGCCAACCAAATAAAATCTGTCACTGCTATTTGACAGCTGACAACTGCAAAAAGTGTTGCCAACGTAGAAAAAGGATTACCATAAATTTAAGTGTTACCACATCAAAACACCAAAATACCCTGGAAAAAAAAATGGAAAAGCAAATGGAAATTTTACTCTCCAAAATAAATGAAAAGTTTAATGAACAAACAATAACTTTAACAACAGCAATAACGAAAAATGTAATGGAGGCCCTGGACGATAAGTTAAAAATAATAACAGAAGAAAACAACAACCTTAAAACTAGAGTCAGTAACCTGGAACAAAAAGTATCCTTTTTAGAGAAGGAAAAGCGTAAGAATAATCTAGTTTTATTCGGCATCGAAGAAAAAGGAAAAACTGAGTTAGAGTTGGTGGATTTTGTGAAGGAAATTTTGCAAGATTCGGGAACTCATATAGATAGTCAGGAAATAAGTGAGATCCATAGAATCGGGACAAATTATGAAAAGAACCGACCGTTAATATAATATCTCTAACAACATCTTGGAAAAAACATCTTATCCTGAAAAACAAGCGCAACCTTCCTACAAATGTGTATGTCAATGAGGACTACCCTAAAGAAGTTCTGGAAATACGCAAACAACTTAAGCCAGAATTAGAAGCGGAAAGAAAAAAAGGAAACATAGCGTTCATAAAATACGATAAGCTAATTGTTAAAAAACCAACTAACCCCAGCCGCGAAAAGAGGAAGAGAGAAACACCAACAGGATCCCCAACCACTCCCACCCCATCCCAGAAAAAGACAAATACCCAGAATGAAATTACTGAAATACAGCCCCCAAGTACAATTAAGGAAGTAGTTAAGCCAAGCATACTTACATTTGTAACGCGTGAAAGATCCGCCTCGATGTCAGAGATGCAAAAAAACGAACAAAGGCCTCCTCGAACCGGAAACAACAAACAGATGCAACAACAAACACAGATATAAGAAAAACTCTAATGTTTTGTCCCCCAATCCGGCCGGTCACCGTGGGGGAAGCCGACCACCACCCTCCAACATATCAGTCAACAAAATCAAATACCCAAAAAGATAAACAAAAACGAAGCAGTTTATACATATGTACACTAAATACACGAACCCTGAGAACAGAAGAAAGTTTGCATGATGCTAGAGTTAGCTATCGAAAACCTCAAGTGGGACATCTTGGGCATAAGCAAGATGAGGAGAATAGGAGAAGGAATAGAAGAGCGAAACAGCTATATTATGTATTTCAAAGGTGAAACCGCTGGACACAGAGGGGTAGGATTCCTGGTTAAGTCAAAACTTAAAAAAACAGATAATTGGTTTTGAAGGGATATCGGACAGGATAGCGGTGATTCATATTAACTTACCAAAGTATAGAAAAAAATGGACAGTCATTCAAGTCTACTCGCCGACAGAACAAGCAACAAAAACTGAGATCGACAAATTCTACGATAAATTACGTGAAGCTATCGAAAAATATTCCGAAAACAATATCGTGCTCATGGGAGATTTCAATGCCCAAGTTGGCGTCCAACTACCCGGAGAAGAACATATAATAGGAAAATACAGAAGAGGCAAAAGAAGTAAAAATGGAGAAAAACTAGTAGAGTTCCTTCGTGAGCAAAACTTAACACTTCTAAACTCCATGTTCCGTAAAAAACCCAAGAACAAATGGACATGGATGTCTCCAGACGGAAAGGTTAAGAACGAAATCGACTACATAATAACTAACAAAGCTAGGGTATTTAGTGATACGGAAATAATACAGAAACTAAATTTCAACACAAACCATCGTATGGTACGCAGTTGTCTAAATGAAAGAAGTCCAAAAGCTCCTAGACACCATATGAACCACACGCAAACAACAAACACACAAACGGACACAGAAAACACAATAAAAGATCTGATGGAAGTCGTTGATTCAGATTTGGACCTAAGTGTAAAATACAAAAAAAATTGAGAATAAGCTTAAGCAGGCAGGAAAACAATCAAACAAGAGTAAAGAAAACATTTTGAGTGAAAGAACGTTAAAACTAATTGAAGATAGAAAGTTGTTAATAAAAAAGGATAAAAAGGAGAACCAACAACAAATATCTAACCTTAGCAAACAGATTCGTGAAAATATGAGGAAGGACAGAAAAATCAGAAGAAACACAATTTTAGAGAATCACATCAACAAAACGGGAGGCACGAAAAAAATCGCTTAAGGAACTCCGTGAAAAAGGGAAAGAATGGATACCAACGTTAAGAGAAAAGGAAAAAGAACTGCCAGCTACTACTCGGAGTTCAATCCAAAATATAGCAACAAATTATTATCGGTTACTATATTCAAATCAATCTAGCTTTAGCACACATATTAGTGATTACAAACAGATGCATGTGACTGAAGGAAACGAAGACATACCAGAAATATTAGTATCGGAAGTAGAAAAAGCAATAAAAAGTCAGAAAATGGATAAAGCACCCGGCCCCGACAGGATCACAAATGAACTTATGAGAGGGACAATCACAGAACTAAGTCCGCTTCTAAGAAAAATCTTTAACGAGATTCTATATACTGGTAACATCCCTAGTCAATGGGCAGAATCTCATATAATACTTCTCCACAAGAAAGGTCCTAAAGACGATATAGGAAACTACAGACCCATTTCTCTCATCTCAAATGTATATAAAGTTTTCGCCAAAGTCATTTTGGACAGAATCTCAATCAAACTCGACGAAAATCAACCTGTGGAACAAGCGGGGTTCAGGAAAGATTTCAGTACAATAGACCATATTCACACTATCAAACAGCTTATAGAAAAATATAATGAATATAGAAGAACAATTTACATTGCCTTTATAGACTACGCCAAGGCTTTCGACAGCCTTAGACATGAAGTTGTATGGCAAAGCCTAAAAGAGCAGGGCATCCAAAACACCTACATCAAGATCATCAAAAGTATTTATAGCGTTAGTACAGGCAGGATAAGACTGGAATCTATAGGAGATGCGTTTCAAATAAAAAGAGGTGTCAGGCAAGGTGATTCACTTTCACCAAAGCTGTTTACAGCAGTATTAGAACAAATGTTCAGGAAGTTGAATTGGGAGCATCTAGGTCTAAACATAAATGGATCACGATTAAATCATCTCAGATTTGCTGATGATCTGGTCCTATTGGAAGAAGATCCAAAACAACTGGAGTCCATGATACAAAACCTGGCAGGAAAAAGCAGAGAATTAGGCCTAGAAATGAACTCCAGCAAAAATAAGCTGATGACAAATTCAATTCCCGTAGACATAACAATTAAAGGACAGAAACTGGAATATGTAGAAGAATATGTATATCTTGGCCAGATAATATCGCCTAACGACCAGATGTCGAAAGAAATAGAAAAAAGGATTGCAACAGGATGGAAAACCTACTGGGCTTTGAAAGAAATTACAAAAATCAAAGAAATAGGCATTAAAATCAAGAAGAAGACCTTTGATACATGTATTTTACCCTGCATTACATATGGCTGCGAAACCTGGGCTCTGACAAAACATCATAGGGATAAACTTGCAAGATGTCAAAGAAGTATGGAAAGAAGCATGATAGGTTTAAAACTAAAAGACAAAGTAAGAAGTACAGACATCAGGCACAAAACAAAACTAACTGATATCCTGGCTCGTATTGACCAACTTAAATGGAGGTGGACTGGACATATGCTCAGGTGTAAAAAGGAGAAATGGAGCAAACAGGTGACAATCTGGTACCCAAGAGATGGCATTAGGAGTCGAGGTCGCAAAAAGAGAAGATGGGAGGATGACCTGAAAATGACTTTGGGTCCGCTCTGGACAAGAGTGGCGGCAGACAGACATCAGTGGAAAGAGTTGGAGGAGGCCTTTGCCGTAAGGCACACCGAACTGAGAGACCTTTTATAATATGTTGTGCGTTACGTTTTTAACCAGCTGTTAATCTATTTATTTAAGTAAAATTTATGTTTGTAAATGAAAAAAACTGTCAAAGTTCGGAAATAAAGGTTTTATTATTATTATTATTATAATGAATATTAGCAACGCTTTTAAAATTGCTAATACTCTCATGTTAACCACTCTAAGAAAAACTAAAATGCTTGAGTCAGGAGTGGCTTCCGAGTCTGCAGTCTGCACTTATTCATACGGCTCGAACTACAAAACAGTCAGAGCCTCACAGAAAAAAACGGGCTTGGTCAAGCCCGAATTTAATCCATCGCATAAAAAAAAACATTTGAATTTTTCATACATCAACTACATGCGGTCCGGAGCCATTTGGTCTACAATTTAAGAAAGAAGCAACCGAATCATGCTCTTGTTTCCGTTCCATCCCTTATTTTAGTACAAGAGTGTATTAATAACGTATAATGTATGTAGTTATATGAAATTACGACACGAATAAAGAGTTATAGCTGTTATTGACGCACGCGGGTGTTTTTATAAAACAGATATGGTGAAATCCAATTGTTTAATAACAGGAATAGAAAATAAACAATTTTTTTTGTTATAGTTATAATAATGACCACCGCCGCCTTTGAACAACTGCAACACCAAGGGAATGAAATATGAATAGATTCACTATGGAACTAAGACTTATGAAATACACCTTTCTGACAAGCGATATAAATTAAAAGGATGAACATAAAGCAGTATTTGTCGTTCCTTTCTTATAAACGACAACAGCTAACATCTCATCTAGTTTACGTTCCTTTGTAAATATGTATCGCGAAAACTAAATAATGGAAGTGCTAGCAGTAGACTAAATAAATTTCTTTCCGGATTCAAGTGGACCGCATGTAGTCGGTTTTGTTCGGACCAGTTTAAACCGGTTGCATGCAGTTAGAGCCTTAAACTACTGTCGCTTTTAACATTTTTATCGAGGCATTCCATCTTAGTCCTCAAGGGTGACAACGCATCTGCATTTTGATTCTTAATCGAGGCAAAATGTAGATGTATTTGGGCCACAGCATCCACTTACCATCAGGTGGACTGTGTGCTCGTTTGTCACCCTTATCTTATAAAAAAACGATATGCATCTGTGACCCATGTTTGAAGTTGGTTTTAGGTGTCAATTTTCTGCGGTAGCCACTTATTAGGTGACAGATTAGCTTGGTTGTCATTCTAATATTAAAATAGGTTACCTGATCATTATCATCTAGAAGTGGGTTTATTTGTTTTTCCAGTTTCATGAGCTGTTCTTCTTTCTCGGCTAATTTTTCAACGCAGCGTTGCAACATACGCTGGGCTGCCACTGTCAGACTACTGGTGGGACCTAGAATATTGCTAGATTATATAAAAGGATCAATTTAAATTATTAGTGTTGTTTTAATAATAATGTGCCATCTTGTGATTATTAGATTTCTTGGTGTAATTATGGATCGAAATTTAGACTGGAAAATACATATAGATGACCTATGTCAAAGAGTTAATCGTTTTTTGTATGCACTACGTACCATAAAAAATGTAACTAATAAAAAACAGCCCTATCATCCTATCGGGCGTATATTGAATCTATACTTCGATATGGTATAATAATGTGGGGTGATAGCACAGATTTGCGTAGGTCATTTATCGCACAAAAGAAGTGTATAAGGACGATATGTGGTATCCCAACTAGAGAATCCTGTAAGCCAATATTGAAAAATCTGTTTTTACTAACTCTACCCTCGTTACATATTTTTGAGATAGGTAAATTTGTAAAACAGCATACAAATTTATTTAAAAAAGTCATCTGATATTAATCCTAGGCTTAAAAGAAATCCGAATAGATGAGTTCTAAGCGAAGTTCCGAAGTCAGCTAAATATAGTAAACGCTGACGAAATTAAAAAAGATTGTACCATTGGTTAATTGACAAAAATATTTATGACATTAACGAATTTCTGACGTTGTAATCTACATTTTTACATTGTAAAAAATATAATTTAAATAAAAATGTTTAATTTGTTAATTTTTAATACTATATAGGTTATTTTGATTTAAATGTAATTTACATGCTATATTATATTAAAATAGCAAAACATGTGGGCATAATAAAACTCTGAAATATCTGTATAATTACCATGTGTATGCAAATAAAGACTATTAGTATGTAATTGGCTACTGTAAAGGTTATTTAGAAATTTTTTTGAGGAAAGTTTTAGTGTTATAATAATTAAATTATCCCTATAGTAAGAACAGAGAAATTTAGACGTTTTGTAATCAAGGTGTGAAAAGGTAAATTGCACCTAAACAAACAAATTAATAAATAAACTAATGAATTTATATAGTTGCGAAATATAAAAACAGTAAAATAATTTTAACACAAATAGAGATACATATCGCACAAGGAGATTGGTATAGATGGGAAGTTTTTCCGTCCAATCCAATATAACCTTAATGTAAATGCTAAATATTATGTCAAAATACAGCATAGTTACCATTATAAAGTGTAGAATTCTCAACTATTTGATTGACGTCAGCCAAAAACTCTTCACGACTTTGATAGTGTTTCTGTCGCAAGTTATCTCTGATGGTTTGTAAATCCATCGGCCTGGACACTATGCGATAGTAATCTGCAACTAGCTGCAATAAACGAAATATTTTTATTTACTTTTGTTTTTTGTTCATATTATATTAACTTGTACAATATGTAACGTAATTAACGCACACCCTCAGCCACCCCAATTAGTATATTATGTTATAATCATAATACATACCACTGAATTTCTAGTTAAACATTTTCATGCACTGATTATTTATCAAATTAGTTATACTAATTCCGGAAGAATGTTGTGGTCACAGTACAAATCCACGAACGCAGAGACTTTAACGTGCTTGAAATAAAGTTCATTTTTCTTTATTTTTATTGAATGACAGAATTAGTAATAATACAAATAAAACTGCACTCTTAAAAGTCTTATTGCCTTAAGTTACAGTCTATTTCAATTAGTTTTGACTGTACAGATTCAGTGTGACTGTAATTTACGTAGTTTTAATTATTTTCGGGATAAAAAATTACCTATATTAAAAATTATAGGAATCGATTCAGTAAACGATTCTGAACAAACTACTTTCTCAAAGTGCGTTAATTATGTTACGTGTTGTATACTATATTAACTTTTTATGAATTTCATGTATAAATATGAAGCAACATGTACACTGACTTTAAAACACTTTTAAACAGTTTAAAAGCAAGTATTTGCGTCTAAATCCCAAAACTACAGATTTCGTTAAATTAAGAACTTTATGAAGTATTAAATTAAATCCGAAATTTATTTACTCTGTACTACACAATAAAAATAAAAGACCGTGATATAGAGAGCACATCATCTTGTTATATTGTAAGTTTTAGCAAATGTACTAAATGAGATTCGAAAAAGGTCTCACATTATAATTTTTATTTTTATTTTTTGATAATTTAATAGAAAATTAATAAATTATAAAACTAATCCTAATTCAGATAAAACTGATTTTTTTTTTCTTCAAATCGAATCATAAAAAAGGACAAAGCAATTGAGTTTTTGTAATTATAGTCAACCAAATCTAAGAAATACATTTTGACAGCTGTCAGATTTATTGCACCAGGCATGCCAATCAAAAAATGGGAACGTACAATATTCGATTCTTTAAAAAATCGATATCGATTATTTAGAGTTGGTAATCATTTAGTTTGGTTTGAATAATACCAGAATTAATTTAAAACACAAGATTTATCAGTTTCTTCGTATTTGTTGTTACGGCTTGTTTCTAGAGGCACAGTTATAAAAATTTAAGATTGAAACTAGATTGAAAATAAATTTATTCAATCATTTTCAATAAAACTAGTAGATAAGTCGTTGTTTATATTAATTATTATTAGATTTTAAATAATGCAGACAAAATAATGTCTCTTTCAGTCATCCATAATATTTTTTTTGTTTTTTCTACCACTTTTGACCAATATACCTTTGTGACATGGGCACATTCTTCAACGAATATTTTTTTATAGCATTGGGTGACAAACGAGCACACAGTCCACCTGATGTTAAGTGGATGCTATGGCCCATAGACATACATATTTATTCTCAATTCAGAATCAAAATGCAAATGCGTTGTCACCCCAGAGGCTTAAGATGGAATGCCTCGAGTCCAGTAAAAAGGGTCGCCGGTTCTCTACACTCACCATACGAAACACAGCAGCATTACGCTAATATTTTACGCTGGTATTCAGTGAGAGCGTGGTCTTGCCCCGGTTGAGCCGACCCATTCGTGCTACAACTGTAATATAGATGTAGCGTGGCTCTACCACGTACAAAAATTTATTATAGAAGAAACAGTCCAAAAAGTTAAAACCGAGTATAAAAAAATAAGAAGACAAACAAAAAAATCACAAAATTACGCACAGTAAGCTCTGTAAACAGAAACAGAAACTTTTTTATTCTATATAGATTATGAATATACTTATTGAAAGTCACTTTTTTCATTTACCACTGGTTCGCAAAAAAATCCTTTTGTCCTGGGAAGAACCAGCAAGAAACCCAACGGGCCTAATTTAAAAAAAAATAAGAACTTACATCATGCGTGTTACAATTACGAGTAACAACACAAAACAAATTAGAAATAGCTTGGTAGCGATCACCCTTCCCAGGAGTTATTATCATCCATAAATTCCATAATATTAAAATAACCCTTTTTATACAAGTTTTTAAACTATGTGTACTTACGTCAAATTTTGTATATTTTCTGGGATTTTGTTGTAAAAGCGTATACATCGCCCCAAGAATGAATTACTGACTGTGGAGTCGAGTAACTGGTACCAAAATGAGCGGGATATTGAAATTATGTAGTGGTTATTTTAGCACGGCCTTGTATATGACTTTTTGCCTACACAAATTTACTTTGACAAATTAAAAAAAAATAAACTTGTTTTATTCATGATTCATGTAATTTGAGGAATTTTGAAAATAAAAATTAAATTAAACAAATAATACATTAAAAAATTAATGATTCGATTATTTTAAAATTTTTACAGATTATTTGAATATTATGCCGATCATTCGCATAACAACAAATTTCAATCATCCAAGCACTACGGTAATATACATGGCGACATATCATTATTGCGAAATGATTAATGAGAAACGTCAAAAGGTATTTCTTAGATTTGGTGGACTACAAATGCGTAGAAACACGTAAATCCAAAATATCCACTACTGTACTTTAACTCCAAAGCATGGAGTTGAAATTGGCTTACTTTCGGGTTGACGGGGAAGAGGAAAGGCTGGACGTCGGGCAGGTGGCGCATGTGGTTGAGCACGTCCTCCAGCAGCGAGGAGAGCGTGACGAGCGGGTCGGTGCGGCGGCGCTCGGCCGGCCGTCGCACCAGGTAGTCGCACGGCTCGCTGGCCGTGCCACGCCGCTTGTTCCTGCCCGCCGCGCGCACCTCGCGCCGCCCCATGCCTCCGCGCCGCTTCAAATCCTCCGCTGATTGCTGCCACACATTTTAATGGCAAGCTTTTATTCATGAAGGTTAGAGAACAGGAGAACGATCGCCGTAGAAAATAGTGTCCCAGAAATAGGGACACCATAAGTGAGGCGCTGCGATCTTTGCGTTCGGTCAATAAAAGTCATTTTCAGTCTATTTTTCCGATCAGATGCTAAACCACTTGCACATCTACGCACAATAAAATATTTCTCCATTTTTTAATGTTTCTTTTTGTCAAAAATTACAAAATTACGGAGCATGAAAATTTTCTCACCAATGCCGCGGAGAAAATTTGTACATTATTCAACTAACTTCATCTACTTGTACTCATAACCAGCTTACTTCGCAGTCACTACTCACCGACGTCAGCGCCGCTATAAATTCTACAATTTTCAAGGACAGGCGAGCTATGCTTTAGAGTAGTGATCGTTCTCCTGTTCTCTAACCTTCATGGTTTTATTTTTAAAAAGAATCTCATTAAGTTTCTAATAATTTTAAAATGAAGGTAGAAGCTATTGACGACAGTAGTCGAACGAACAACTTTTTTTTAATTTTAACAGTAGTGAAAATAAATTGTTCGATCGAGTAGTAGTAGTTTTACATAATATAATGTAAAAAACCTTATGTTTAAGAGACCCTATTTGAAAATGGTAAAGACAATAGTTAAATTAACATAATATACAAATGTAAACAAAAATTACCTTTATTTTTTTATTAATTAGGGTTTGTAAAACTGTAATTTGGATTTCAAATTATAATAAGATATAGATTAATATACACAAATATAATAGTATGACTCTTCGTCCACACAAAACATAATAACACAATAAATTTTTTACGTGGTAGAGCCATGCTGCAGTTATATTAGTAGTATAGTTGTAGCACTAATGGGTCGGCTCGACCGGGGAGGGACCACGCTCTCACAGAATACCAGCGTCAAATAGCTTAATGCTGCTGTGTTTCGTATGGTGAGTGTAGAGAATCGGAGACCCTTTTTACTGGAAACGAGGCATTCCACCTAAGTCCTCACGGATGACAACGCATCTGCATTTTGATTCGTAATCGAGGATAGATGTAGATGTCTATGGGCCACAGCAACCATTTACCATCAGGTGGACTGTGTGCTCGTTTGTCATTCTATCCTATAAAAAAATGGACGATAAACTTGCATCGATACTTTTTTGGGCATTTCTACTTACACGTGCCTCCTGCAGCCCCTCTAATTGATAGACAGAGACGCAACTATAATACTGCGTGCTTGACAAGGACAGCCTCAGAACTACGACCAGAACACGTTCAGCCCGGTTTAGTATTTTAAGATTATTAAATGATGCATTTATCGGTGAAACGTGACTTTAACCTTCTTGAAATTACGTTTCTTGCTATCACTATCACACCACTTTACTTCACAAGTGGGCATGTTTTACTGTTTTAATTAAAAAAAAATTGTAGTGCTAAGGACGCAGTGCACAGGTCTGTTGTCTGGTCACTAAACAGGGTAGCGTTCGTGTTCAACTGTATAGGCTCTGGTTGAGCAGATGAAGTACAGAAATTTGTCGCCTTTCGTTAAATGTCTCGTAGGCTAGGTGGTCTGTGCTGCTCAATGAATTAAAAAAATTAGACTTAATCGCAAAGAAAACTAACGAAAACTAACTAATTTACGTTTCTAATGAAGTTTACTCCATATTTTGTAGTATTGCTGAAAATAATCTGCGAAATTATATTAAGCATAATGCACAGGAAAACAATTCAGAGAAGGAGCTATCTCTCGAAATTATTGCCAAACTCGTTGGTCGTACTCTACTTCCTATTTTTGATGAGTAAATCAATTCGCAACATTACGACACAAATCTGGCGCGGCTTATTGTAGAACGTTATGTAAGAGTTCGATTCTTATATGAATCCAAAAAAGATAATATTTCGCGGATAGCGTCATCAAAGCGGCAGTTATTTATAAAACCGTTACAGATGCAGGGTTATTACTTATTAAGTAAGGGACGTTTAGTTTTAAGTACTTGGGTATATAGTTATTTAATAAATATTTTTAGTTTCGTGTTTTATTTGAATAGTTTTTCTCCTTCCGAATCTTATTTTGTTTTAATACAAAACGCCTATTCAAAAAATTATATCATATATTTATATAAATATATAATACTATATACTTATATAAATATATCTTTTCTAACAGAATAATATAATGACATAATAGATTTGTGAATATTATTATAGCATGTGATATTACGTATATAAATAATTTTAATAAAATATTAGTTAACAAATATAAGTAATTTTATATTTCTCTCTTTGTAAATTATCAATAAATAATTCTAAACGCAACCTAAATATAAATTTTACGACTATGTCTACTATTACACTTTGCCCTTTTTTTTTTTTTTGGGAAATCGTCCATTACTTGCATACATTACTCATTTGCTTGTGTACGTGCGGGCAAATGTAATTACATGGCACTTATGCACACATTCATTGTGTTGTTGCTTCAACTTTGAACGGAATTTTGAATGACACTATCACTCTAAGTCTAATTACTCTATGAGTGTCCTATGAAAATGTTTCGGAACAAGCCCAATATATATTATTACGTTAAGACTGGATGGGCCCCGCGTCAAAATGAACGTCAATAAATGATCTTAAAATGGTTTTCTTACACCAAAGTAAATTAAACCCGCAGTCTGCTGTCGCGGGAATGTTCGTATATTTTACTTACAAAAATACAAAGTTGTATGATAATTCATAAAGCAACGCCCATTGCGACAAAAAGAACGATAATTACAAAAATAATGGCATTTCATATATAACGTCAAAAGTATGTCAGTAAATAAATTTGCTTATATAGTTAAAATAATTTTATATCCGAATTGTTACATCGTTCAGCTAAGACGAACGATATAAGAGTATCTTTTTACCTTTTAAATCAATGGCTCGTATACGTAGCAGCACGAGTCGCAAGCACAGCCTTGACATGCGCAATGGTGGAATTCAAGGATGATGAATTCAAGTCTCTTTGGTGGACTACAAGGGTCACTCATTGAATATTTATGTGACATTTGCCTTTTATATAGAATAAGAATGATAATTGAGCACATAGTCTACCTGATAAGTGGATGCTGTAGCCCATTAACATTTACAACTATTCTTCATTACAAATCAAAATGCACTTGCGTTATCACCCCTGACGACTAGGATGGAAAGTCTCGTATACAGTAGAAACGGTCTCCGGCACTATAAAAAACACAGCAGCATTAAGTAGTGTTCTGTGAGAGTGTGGACTTTCCCCCGTTGAGCCGAGCCATTCGTGCTTGAACCAATATATTGCTATAATATAGCTACAGTATGGCTCGTTTTTATAGAGTAACACATCTACACTTAACCTTAGAGTTAAATGCAGATGCGTTGTAGTCAGCCCTAAGACCTAAGATGGAATGCCTCGTTTCCAGTAAATAGGGTTTCTGGTTCTTTACTTACTTACTTAATCAATTCTCTAGTTACTTACTCAATTAGAGCCGAAGAAAATCATACAGTCAGTCATCGTGTTTGATGTTGCCGGAAAACCGACAAAACAATAAATTGCTAGAGTTGTCAGAACGAGAAGTAATATAAAAATAATACTATATTATTTCACGTTTAAACAAATTAAATAACTTCAGACATCATTGTGTATTGTCTTAATCAGACAATTAGTGCCCAGAAATAATAAAAATAGGTCATAGGACCCACAGTTTTTTACCGCACATGTGGTGTAAACCATTTCAATTTATTTGCGTGACAGAGCAACCCGAGCGACTAACGAACGTTCCACCCGCATCTCGGCCTCGGTCTAAATGTCTTGACAGGATAGTTTATGCTGCTGTGTTTCGTACGGATCATATTCTATATATAGTGACTACCTCGTTGGTCTAGTGGTTCCAGTACTGCTGATCATAAGGTCCTGGGTTTGAACCCCAGGTCGGGTCAAAAAATCAATTATCGAGTTTTTCCGTCAAGAAATTCTCAGTAGCTGCTCGGAGTCAGGAAGTTGGCACTTGGGCACTATTATAGTGCTAAGCCGATGGTTACTCTCCGTTGAGGCTTCGAAATCGATCGAATTTCAGTCTAGAGGACATTATACAATATGTAACATAATTAACGCGCATCCTCAGACACCCCAATTAGTATATTATGTTATAATCATAATATCATTTATATTAGAAATCCGTTTTGGGGACCTTTCTTCCCCTGGTATTATAAACATACACTGAATTTTTAGTTAAACATTTTTATGCACTGATTATTTATCAAATTAGTTATACTAATTCCGGAAGAATGTTGTGTTCACAGTACAAATCCACGAACGCAAAGACGAAATAAAGTTCATTTTTCTTTATTTTTATTGAATGACAGAATTAGTGATAACACAAATAAAACTGCATTCTTAAAAGTCCATTTCAGTTTGTTTTGACTGTACAGATTTAGCGTGACTGTAATTTACGTAGTTTTAATTATTTTTGGGATAAAAAATTACCTATATTAAAAATGATAGGAATCGATTCAGTAAACGATTCTGAACAAACTACTTTCTCAAAGTGCTTTAATTATGTTACGTGTTGTATATAGTTACCTTGATGAGCTTGGAGGGCAGCGTGAGCTTGGTGCCGTCGACGTAGCCGAGGTCGTCATCGTCGGGGTCGGGCAGCGGGTCCACGTCGTGGTCGGGCGAGGGCGGCGCGCCCGGCTGGCCCGTGTACAGCGGACACGCCTTGTTGGTGCGCATGTGCCCCACCTGCCCGCACGCACCGCACTGCGCGCGCCCACAACCGTTACATTCGTTGGATACGCAACAATCACATAAAAAAATATTTGGAAAAACCATTCTTCGAAATTTTTATTGTGAAAATTTCTATTGTGAAATGTCAGAATGTGTCAAAAAAGGCACGTATGCCAATTCACAGTGCTGTATTAGGCCCTACTTTAACGTATGGTAGTGAAAGTTAGGTGTGGCAGAAGAAGCACGAGAGTAGAATAAACGCAGTAGAAATGCGGTCGCTAAGGAGTATGTTAGGGCTGAGTCTGAGTGACAGGGTGAGAAACTGTGTGATAAAAGAAGAGTGTGGTTTGCAAGATGATGCGGTGACCAGGATTAAGAAAGGAATGCTACGGTGGTTTGGTCATGTAGAAAGAATGAATGAGGAAAGACTGACAAAGCAAATATATCTTGCAGAAGTGAATGGAAGAGTCGGAAAGGGACGTCCTAGGCGAAAGTTTGTCGACCAAATTGGTGACATACTAAAAATGGGCCAAATTAAGAGTACCCATAACCGACGAGCATGTATGCGTAGGTATATGGATGTGGAAGAGGCGAGAGAGATATTTCAGGATTGTGCTAAATGGAAGTCTGTAGTCTCTGCCTACCCCTCTGGGTGACAGGCGTGAGTGTTTATGTTATGTTATGTTATGGAAAAACCAAAAGTTTTTGTTATGTAATCTAAAGCGAATGAATTAATTAATTATATGTGGTGGCCATGCTGCAGTTATATTAGATGTATAGTTGTAGCACGAATGGGTCGGCTCGACCGGGGAAGGACCACGCTCTCATAGAATACCAGCGTGAAATAGTAGCTTAATGCTGCTGTGTTTCGTATGGTGAGTGTAGAGAACCGGAGACCCTTTTTACTGGAAAAGAGGCATTCCATCTTAGTCCTCACGGGTGACAACGCGCCTGTATTTTGATTCGTAATTGAGGATAGATGTAGATGTCCATGGGCCACAGCAACCACTTACCATCAGGTGGACTGTGTGCTTGTTTGTCACCCTATCCTATAAAAAAAAAATTAGAAATAAACTAATCTTATATTTCAATGTCTGTAGTTATTGTAACGTTAATAATAATGTGGATTTGATGTCTAGATAAAAGTATAAGAACGATTTTATGCAGCAGAATTGAGGTATGGCCACATATCGAGAGTAGAGCACTCCCTCACGTTGCGTGCAAAAATAAATAATTCTGTGGCATTCTGTGGGTAAAGATTATGTTCAGCAGTGGACTTGTGAAAATCTGGAATGAATAAATGAATTTCTAAAGTAAAAAAATCTTATAAAGCAATAATTTAAATTATAAAAGCTAAATAAACACATTTATATTGATAAGTATAAATACTGTATTGCAGAAAATAGCTAATAATTCTAATATTTTAAAGACAAAAATGGTTAGTGTAAAAGCATGTATTTACTATATGTATGTATGTAATCTGTATAAACTATTAGACTTATTAAAAAAATGTCATAGAAACTTTTTGTAGGTAATTTTATTTTAGACAAATTATTATAAATAATGTTTTTTATTAAATCCGCATTGTTTTCTAATTATTTTCATTTTAATGTAAATCTTTTTTAAAACCCTTCAGATTAAGGAAATTCCTCCACATAATTGTCAGATTACGGGTCAGCACGACAAGGACACCATGCTGAACTGTCCGTCATTTAATCTGACGCGCTCGAGTATTTCAAGGTCACGATTTTTTTTTTTGCATTTTCAAATATTTGCCAAGAGTTTTGGTCGCGTCCAAATTGTCAGTCTTTTGAATAGGAGCTTCTTTAGGGTGTACTTAACATATCTTCGGAATATCTGACGCGCTCGAATAATTTTTTTAATTCCATTTTCAACACCTTCGCGCGGCCACCCCCACCATTTAATCTGTCGGATTAATATTCCTCCGTCCTCAAAAATACGTGGGACGTATACACTGTAAATATCTGACGAGCTCGAGTATTTTATGTGACTGTTTTTTTTTTCACATTTTTGAAAACTGCTCATCCCACCACTGAAAAGGTATACATCATATAACCTTTTTTTTGTTTTTAAATCATCTAAGCTTCACAATCCAAAAGGTCTCCACGACGCTCAAGTAACTCCCAATTTGGCCTCTCGGGCTCCCCTACTAACAGTAGAAAATTCTAACGTGAAGGTGACGTTTAATATTTAATGAAAAAGGAAGAAGTTAAAATCTATACTAATATTATAAAGTGAGCATGCGAATTTTGTGAGCTTGTGTATGTGTACATGGTAGTATTGAACGGAGCCAATACTAGGTGTATTGGCTCCGTTTAAGAAATTCTTTCATCATTTGAAAGATACATTATTACAGATGGAGATTGGCTATATATTATGCAATTATATATATTTTGACAAAAGTTATGATGATATTCGTCAACTAAGTCGGAAAAAATCGTGCTTCTTGAAAGCTTCTATGGCGAGCGCTGTGTTAATAGTTAAAGATACACGAAAATAATGAAAGGCTGAATTGTTCCTCTTGATCTTCTAAGGATAACTCATAGTAACCACTTTTATATAAAAACACGCGCGATAAAATAATTATGGTGGCGGCGCGGCAGTGGCATTTCTAGGTCAGGATATGTGGAGATCAATTTATTTAAAAACCCTAGAAAACCGGAACAAAAGTTCGACATACCATGACATTTTAAAAGAAATTATACCCACCTAATATTTAAGATAGATTATTGATTAACATGGCAAAGCCGGTGCGAGCCGTCCATAGTAATTGGTTAAGGACGAATACATATGAATAACAAGGGCCCTGCGCCGCCTAAACGAAACAGCAGGCGCAGGCATACATTTTCACCGCGCCGTAGAGAGGGGGATACTTCCTCTCCTACGCCGCGCTGGCTGTCTCTCTCTCCATCCGTCTTACGAATTTTCGATCAGGGTCACGTGTCCTGACGCGAGTGTAACATTTTTTACCCATTACAAAAAAGTGTACAACGCCGCTAAAGATGTTTTCACTTCAAAATTGACGTGTCTGATTAAAATACTATAACTGCCTTTTATTGCTGAGGAAGTAAAAATTAAGACACGAATGGACATTTTAAAAGTTTGAATACAAGAAAATTAAATATATTGCTATATTTTATCCCGAAAACTTGGGAGATTTTTTTAGCAATAAAAAAAATGCATGCAATTAAGACACGAATGGACACTTTTAAAAGTTTTGTTCTCTGTCTGTTCGCGCTAACCTTCGAAATTACTGAACCAATTGTAATGAAACAAGAAAAAATATAAAATAATGCCAAGAGCGATCTAGCTATATTTTATCCCGAAAACTTGGGAGATTTTTTTTGAGCAATAAAAAAATTGATAAAATAAATAGTCTGTAATTATTCTCTTAAATTAAATAGCGTTAATCGTTAGTGCTAATAAAACTAAGGTTCTGGTATTTGAAAAGGACGAAGAGAGAACGAAATGTGAAATATGGGTTAATCAGGAATGTCTAGAACAGGTAAATGAAATTGTATACTTGGGGAGTGCTTTCAGCCGGGATGGAAGATGTGATTTAGATGTGGATAGGCGTGTCGCTGCCGGAAACAAAGTCAATGGTGCCCTGAATGCATTATTCAAAAGGCAAGGCGTGGTGAAGAGTGCACGCCTTGCACTACATAACGCAGTGTTGGTACCGACTTTGTTATATGGCAGCGAAACCTGGGTATGCCAGAAGAAGCACAAAAGCAAGTTGAATGCAGTGGAGATGCGATCTCTTCGTAAAATGTGTGGCGTTACCATAGCCGATCGAAAGCGAAACGAAGAGATTCGCAATACGGCAGGATCGAAAGATGACCTTATCACAAATATTGATAGGGGCGTACTCCAATGGTTTGGGCACGTTGAGCGAATGAGTGAGGACCGAATGGTGAAGAAAATATATAGAGCGAAAGTAAATATTAAAAGGTGTCGAGGTAGACCGAGACTAACTTTCGAAGACCATGTGAGCAAATTGCTCGAAGAGGGGAAGATCAAGAGTACTCGGATACCTAGACGTGCATGTATGAAGAAGTTAATGAACCTGAAAGAAGCGAAAGAGGTATGTAAGGATCGTGACACTTGGCGATCTGTTCTCTCTCGCTACCCCGTTAGGGATTGTGCGTGAAGATAAGTAAGTAAGTAAGTAAGTAAGTTAATCGTTAGTTAGATATTAAGACAATTGTAATATTTTGTAGCATCCCTTGGGGGAGACCTATGTACATATAATAATTATATACTAAGATATTTACCGGCTGCCCTTTTTAGCCGTGAGGTAAAAATATCTATGCGATTGGCTTCTTCGAAAAAGAAGAACCTTAGGATTCAACAGTGTTGAAACATTATGAAAGTGATCTTTAATGTCCTTAGATTTTCTACTTCTTTTTAATATGTTTTCGTATAGTATAATGTATAACACACTTACATTTTTTTTTTTATTTTTTTTTTTATTTTTATTTTGTGTGTGTTCAAACAAAAAACAACAAACGAAAATTGGTTTTATAAATTCTTTTTTTTCTTTTTTTTTTTTTATAAATTCTCTTTTTTTTGTTTTTTGCTTTTTTTATTGATCTATCACATTTCTCAAGTGCGTTATTATATTACATGTTGTATATTAGTATATAATACCTTTTGTTTTCCATAAAAATTACTAAAAATGTAAAAATTAACTGATTCAGTTTCATACAGCATATTTAATTTCATTGCATTCTATTATTTCGGACTTTTCATTCTATCTAAGCTAAAAACACACTACTTCGCATCACAGTAATATTCGAATATGACACAAAAATAACCTTCAGTTTCAAGTCTGGTTTCAATTTCGCTCGTCGCCTAGAAGGTGTGTGAAGATCCGGTTCCTGCTTTATCTGACCTAAAGGAATTAACCCTGGCGATGGTGAACCTAGATCTGTAGATGACATGTTTAGACCTGTAGATAAACAAATATTTGAATTAGAATAGGGAACTACAAAACGACATTTGTAATTTTATTCAAAAAATAACAAAGTTAAAAGCACAAATCATAATTTTTAGTCAATCAACTCACTGTCGTTATTCCCTGGGAATTGACCAGGCACTGTCACATTTCCTGCAAGCCTTTCTCTTTCCTGGTTTCTCTTAATGCGTCTCAGTTGTTCCTAAAATTAAATTAAAAATAATGTGGTTACTTTAACACATAGTTTATGTAACATTGCAAATAAAGGGAGCTGGAAATACTCCAAAATTGTTTCTTTTAAAAAATTACAATCGCTTATAAATTTTTTGACCTGCGAATGAACCTAAATCAAAATTGGTCATGAGCCTATGAGTCCACCACCACCACGGAACCACTTTCTTAGCTACTTCTGCAAACAAATAGCAGTACTTGCACTGCTTGTTCTGGTCTGAAGGGTGAAGAGAACCGGTATAATTATAAGTTGTGAGGCATTCCATTTTTGTTCTTAGAGGCGACAACGCTTATGTTGCCTTCTTGAAGTTTGTTGCAAGTGTTCATGTGCTGCAGTAGTCACATACCATCAGCTGGACTGTAAGTTTGCCTAGTCGATGGCACGAACTAAGTGTTGGGCGGAGTTAAAATGCATGCTATCTCAGCCGACATCACGTGCGAAATCGAAAGGCACGATGATTTACAACGAAACGAGCGCGCGAAATTTTATAAGAAGACCTTTGGGAATCTGAATATCATGAAAAATCTATTGAATTTATCTGTTCAAAATAAAATTATTTGCACTTTTGAACACCTAATCTATCTCTGTATGGTAACTGTTTTGCAATTTTCGTTCTTCTTATGGTATTTTTTTCCGCCCAAAGATTTTATTTTAATTTATTGAAATTACTACTTTTGGTAATATTCTTTTTTCACTTTTTTGTTTCCATACAGGGCTAGATAAGAATGAGACAAATTGAAATCAGTTTTTATTTTGAACGTACACCATCAAACAGTGGAGAAATCGCCACACTACGTTTATATGGAAGAATGAACGACTAGTGTACCCTTAAAGAAGTAAACTTCATGCATATCCATGAAACAAACCTGAATCCTTCTTTTCTCCCGCTTCATCTCCTCTTTCTGTGTCTCATCCATAGTCGCAAACTGACGTATGAACGCTTCGTCTTTAGTGGAACGTATCTTGGTATACGCTTCAATCACGGCCGCCTTTCTCACTAGCTCCACTCGAGTGTACCTCTGCCCGGAGGCGTTACGGAATGTACGAACGATACGTAATACACGTCCTGGAGACAATAAGCACAGATGTAAACCATAATTGAATGAAAGAGTTAAATAAGTTAGCAAGACTCAAAATTTCATTAAAATGTACTATCGAACATTTTGTAGTACTATCTATAAACTCCAAGCTCGCGAGTTGTGGTTGTTCTTTATTTATTAAGTTCTTTATTTGTTAATTAATTAAATATAAATAAAATATTAGGTTAAAAATGTATTTTAAAACACTCGAAACGTTTGAATTAAAAATGTGTCAAAATTAAATGCATTTAAATCCGAAAAATTGATTTAAATGTATGTGTGATGTTTGCGTAAATATAAAAAAATAATTGTGAATTAAGTATTGATGGTTCAGGACTACGCTTCGTGGCATTCCTTTCATTCCGTTCAGCAGTGGACTTGTGAAGGTCTGTAATAATGATAACGATGGAACACATGGGTCATCACGTATTGATGATAATGATATTTCAAAATTATATAAGTATTTATTTTAAATGTTGCCTTTTTATAATATAAAGTAGCCACACACACTTATAAATGATTTTTACAAACCTTGATTTGAAGTCTGCTGTTGATCATTTTGATTGATCTGCGGTTTCTTTTCAGACTGTCCTAGAATCATTTTCCTCAGTTCCGCTCTTTCCGCTTCTTCCCTTTCTAATGATAACTGTCAAAGATATTACAAAATAACAATTAATCCCCATAATTTTTCCCTTTTTAATTTCTATAACATAACTAAATATATTTTTATAAAAACGTAATAAGTTTTTAAATACTTGTTCCGTAGTTTTCTTGTTGGCCAACATATTCTCCAAGTTCTTGCCCATCTCCTCCAAATCGGATTCCTCGCTGACAGAGCTCTCGGCCTCGTCTGTACTCAGCACTTCTGTACTAGTAAGTACTCGATTCTGAAGCTCGAATATACGTTGACACTCTTCTTTGTATCTGTACGGGAGTGGGAGAAGTAAAATGAATATAACTAAATATTATATTCTACTAGCTTGCCAGGCAGACGTTGTTCTACCCTTTTCGATGACCCTGTCATGTCCTATTAAAAATCCTTAAATTAGCAAAAAGAAATTGTGGGTCACTCATGGGCAAAAAAACTAACCTATCTCTCAAGTTGGACCAAACTGCACACGGTGTGTAAATTTGATTAAAATCGGTTAAGTAGTTTAGGAGTCCATCGCGGACATACAACGTGACACGTAATTTATATATATTATAAGATATTAAGATTTACAATAACATTTGTTTATAGTTTTTATATATAAATATATGCATATATTTATATATAAAAACTAGCGACCCGCCCCGGTTTCGCCTGGGTAAATTGTCTATTATGTGACTTTAATTAAGGTTTAAGATAATAATCATCAAGACCATTTATTTTATCTCATTTTCAATTTCTCAAAATAATTGAGTTTTTTTAAATAAAGCCTAGATTTGGTATTGCTTTCCATCTGTTCCTGAAGTTTCTTCATAATCGGCTCAGTCTACCCGAAAACTAACCTAGACGGACAGACTGACAGACTAAAATTCTTAAAATGTTTATTCCTGTATTGATAGCATACAAATTAACCCTCAGCTCAATAAAAGCCAAAGACACTACAATTTTATTTGAATAAAAAAGTACAAATGTTATACACAGAACAACAAAATAATATTTATATAAAAAATGTTGTGTATTAAAAAGTAATTGTTAATATCTTGTAAAATCAAACGTTCAAGTGAGTGGAAATGTCAGCGAAAAACGTTCTAGACTGCAGTTAATAGAATAAATTGACGATGGACCAAATTTATTGTAAAAATGTGAAAGAATCGAGGGAGATACATCAAGATTAATTGTAAGATATATATTAGAGCGTAGAGCCCCATTTACTCTATTTCCTGCGTTCACTCGTCGTTCTATCTCACACGTTTTGTTTAAGGATATCCTTATCATATCTCACACGTATTGTTTACTTTCTCTGTCATAAAACATAACTTTCGTCTTACTTGTGTTCACATGAAAGTCATTCCCCTTTCTTTTAATGACCTGTTCATTAATGTAACCATCATTTGCAACTCGGCCGCCGACGATGCAAATATAACTTGATCATCGGCGTACAAAAGGCACTTGACGGTTAACTTACCTATTATTAACCCGCATCCTTCAACTTTCAAATTTTTCACACTGTCCATAAATAGGTCAACAGTCACGGGGAAGCCACACAGCCTTATCTGATACCTTTATGAATACCAAACCAGTCCGAGTAGATCTTATTGATCCTAGCACAAGCACTAGAGTCCCTACAAAGAGACTTTAATGTATGTATTAACCCATGGCTCAACCCAAATGAGTACAATGTTTACCATTACTCATCCCTGTTAACTCTCTCAAAAGCCTTTTTTCCAAGTCCATGAACACACAAAAAACTTTTTGGTTTTTGGGCAAAACTCCGCGATCATGCGCAAGAAAATACTTGATCTATACACCCCATTCCCTTTCTAAGTCCCGCTTGCAGATCCTAAATTTTCCATCAGTTTCTATCATAACTCTTTTAATATATCTATGTATAGAAATATTTCTTTTCTCAACATTTAGAAGGAAATTATACAAAAACATTAAACACAAAAGTCAAAAAATATAAATTAAATATTTTAAAATGTTTCTTTCATATTATACAAAGGTACGTATAGCGAGCTCGAAAAGGTCGTGGGGTCAATTCACCATACGATTGCTGTGTTGAACCACTTCTAACACAAGAATTTTAAGCTTACTAGAAGTGGTTAAAGCAAATATTAATGTTAATAGCATTGTTAAGTATTAAAAGAAACATATATTGCTAGGAAATTAAACATTAACTAGAAACATTGTTTCCAGTTTATTCAAGAGCCAGCGTTTTTGAAAGTTTTAATAAATAATCTTTAGTATCGTTGTGATTTGAAACTCGGATCTATAGGATACGAGGTAATAAGGTAGAATACACTATACTATATAGTGTTTCCCATTATCTCAGTCTCTATTTTGAAGGTTTCACTTCTACCGCGTGTGAACTGCACACATGTTTAATTTTTTATAGGATAGGGTGACTAACGAGCACACAGTCCACCTGATGGTAAGTGGTTGCTGCGGCCCATAGACATCTACATCTATCCTTGATTACAAATCAAAATGCAGATGCGTTGTCACCCGTGAGGACTAAGATGGAATGCCTCGTTTCCAGTAAAAAGGGTCTCTGGTTCTCTACACTCACCATATGAAACACAGCAGCGTTAAGCATTATTTATTTAATATAGATAACATAATGCAAATGTAACCAAAACAAATGTATCATAATGTTTATGAAACATAAATGAGAAAATAAAACGAACAATTTTTTTTCGGTTCTTGCCAAAATAACAGTGGTGACTTACCTTTCCTGATGTTCTGCAATTGAAAATCTATTTCCTCTTGAAAATTTAGTCATTCCTTCTTCACCGGCTTTCGCTTTTTCAGTTGACAAAGTTCTCACAACGTCAATGACTTCCCATCGCGACAGTTTTTTAATCTGTAAATTTGGTAATATATAGGCTAATCTATTAAGTCATAATATCCAAAATTTATTGCATTGTAGTAGCGGCATCAAAGAACTCATTACCCCATATTGTCCCGTAAGTGTCACAAGCGTAGACAGAGAAACCTATAGACAAATTGACGCCTTCTTTCGCATTCGAACATGACAAATAGATTTATGCATATGTCTTGCATAGAAATGAGACAGAGCGGTGTGATTGTTTGTACCTTTCTCCGTACCAGTTTTTACTACTTTACTTTGACAGTTTGTAGCGATCTAAGGAGTTTACAAGTTGGTTTTAGTGAGAAAAAAAGTGTTTTGTGAGCTTAAGATTGGTGAATCTTGTTCATTTCAGTTCTTAGAACAATTAAACATTTTATCTAAATATGTTTAAAAGTCATAAAGATTATTGTAAATAACCTAAAACTACGTTATCGTCCTTTCTTACTCTAGGCCACGCTAATCATTAGTCTATAGGTTTCTCTGTCTACGGTCACAAGAGACGACTAAAGAGAGGGAAACTGAAACAGGAAAAGCAACAACATCTTCCCAATAAAAACTCAAAATAATAAACAACTGTGATTACCAACTCGAATGTCAAGCGTGGCCACTATGTCAAATATTCCACCTACAAGGCAATCTTCAGCAGTGAACTATCATATATTATTCGAGTTGTAATCAGGAAGATGCTGCCCATCTTCAATTTCATTTTTTTACGTGGTAGAGCCATGCTGCAGTTATATTAGTAGTATAGTTGTAGCACGAATGGGTCGGCTCGACCGGGGAAGGACCACGCTCACAGAATACCAGCGTAATATAGTATAATATAATATGTAGCTTAATGCTGTTGTGTTTCGTATGGTGAGTGTAGAGACCCGGAGACCCTATTTACTGGAAACGAGGCATTCCACCTAAGTCCTCACGGATGACAACGCATCTGCATTTTGATTCGTAATCGAGGATAGATGTAGATGTCTATGGGCCACAGCAACCACTTACCATCAGGTGGACTGTGTGCTCGTTTGTCATCCTATCCTATAAAAAAAAACTCCCTCTGTGGTCTCTAACTATTCCCATGATTTCATTTATTACGGCCTTGGTTGTAGCGACCTTTTATCTATAGCGACGTTAAATCTAAGTCCCTTGAATTTAAAGCATACTTTAGTAAAAAATTCATGTGGCTATAGCAACTTTACTTGTAACGCCGAGTTCGAGTGTAGCTACTGTTTTTAACAAACATTTGTAACAAATTCCTAGAAATCCCATGCAGATATTGCGACCGGAGTAGGCCGCCAAAGACACAAAGATTTTCTGTCACAAAAATTTCTTATGTCTTGTTTACATCCACATAGATGGTCAGCAAGTGTGGAGACCTTGACGTTTTGTTTATAGATATCAGCTAAGTAGGTAGGGGGGCGTGTACGTTTCGGAGTTAAATTTATGGTTCAGTTATAAAGTGATATTTCGAGTAGCATTTTGAAATGTACCAGCGAATAACTATGTGTGTAAATATTTTTAATAATAAATGAATATAAACTATATACAAGTGTACGTGTCTATATCTATTTACCTTTGCCTGTAACCACTTCCAGATATAACGACGAAAATAGAGTGGTCCCTTCATCGTCGTTATACCCGAAATCCAAATATATATATATATATATATATATATATATATATATATATATATATATATATATATATATATATATATATATAATATGGGGTAATGGATATTTTTCCGAAAAAAAGAAATTTACCTCTTCCTCAGGCACACCGAATTTTCTTAACAAAGCCTTGGCATTATTCAAACTAAGTCTCCTCAAGTCGGCATCTGTTCCTGTTACAGTTCTCTTGGGCTGTTGTTCTTCATTAGGCTGTTGCGTTGGCTTATTTGGCATACGGACATATGAAAAACCCTCTCCACAGCCAGTGGGATCCGCTGGGCCTGTGAGCTGTAGCAAACATTTGCCACGCATTGCTTGTATGTAAGCACGTGTTGTGTTCCAAGGTGCAACTTTTACCTGCAATTTATGTATTTTTTATTATATTATTTATATTGTATATGTATTATTTATATTGTACAAATAATGATAATAATTAGCGGAATATACTGAGGCCTACTGCGTAATGTTGTTAAAAGCTTAGTTTCTGCCTGAGTTCTAGTTTCAACTGAAGGCAATTAATTACTGACGCAATACATACACAGTATTGCGCTTTACATTGTTAGGGCTGGCTGGCTTTAGGTCTTGAGTTAAGAGGGCATATGCGTTTCGCGTCGAAAATTACATGTTTTAGGGTTTTCCCAAGGGCGATATCGTAACGATGTGAGGAGATTGTTTGCAGAAAATTAGGGCTTAAGAAAGATGAAGTATTTATTTAGTGCACTGCAATGCAAAATCATAGTTTTAATGACGGTTTTTTAGAGCGGAGACAATCCCTTCAAGGCGTTTTACGAAAATATGCGTCAGAGTTATCTTTCAGGTTGAATACAACCATTATTTTAAGCTAAAATACTTTATTTTAAGCGTTATTATAATGGAATATATAGTCTTTTAGTGAATAGCAAAACCTAAATAACGAAAATATTTCGATTTAAGGTGAAACCTACGGACTGTTCCCAGCCATTCTCCCGCAAGATGGCGCTGAAGTCAACATTTTTAGTTTATTTGGATTTTTGTGTAATTCGTAAATTATTAAGTCGTAGGAGTAGACTTTGCGGTTATCGGATATTACATTTTATTGGAATGGGTCACGGTCTGGGTTGTGGGGTGTCCGCGTTGTTTGTGTTTCTTTTTCCCCTTTTTTTTCGTTCCCTTCTTTTGTGAGAAAATCTATTATTTCGAACCCGTTTTTTTAGTACTTTTTTAAAAAATACGAAAATTTTATTGCACTCATGATTTTTCATTCTAATAACCAGTTAAATTTTTTCTATTATGTCGGTAAGATCAAAAAATATTCTTCACATTTTATCAGTATACTAAATATAACTTCCAAAACACACGATTTCCAAAAAAAAAAATATCGAGCAATGCTCGGTCATCCAGGTACTATACAATATATATATTATTTTTTTTTTAATTCAAATCTTCCTTCAATTCTATATGAATTGGGTTGCGTTCGGAACACAAGATCTAGAACACAAAAATGTACAAAAATTTACTTATCTTCTTATTTCGATGTTATCTTTACATTCTGGTAGAATTGGCCGACGAATTAGAAAAATATAACTCAGATTAGAATAAGCTATTTACTTATAAACAATAAAGCACGGAACAGAAAAATGGATTTTATGTAACTGAATTATATTTGTTTCTGAGCGCACCATAACCGTGAACTTGAGCTCTATAAAATATAACAAACTAATAATGTGTGTCTGTCTGAAACTGTTTGTAAAATGAGTAAAGGGTGTTTAATGTAACCCGGCAAAACCATATTTAGCAAATGTTTGCAAGTTTAATTTTGTGACTACTTTGGTAGCTTACCGATTTATAATAATTGTATTTATTGTTGACCAAAAAAATATTCAAACACATTCATATATGAAACACTGACACGTATGACGTAGGTAATCAGTGTTGTGACGATATTTCAGAAAAATCACGGGCCAGCCTGCTGTTAATAATACTACCGAAAACATAATTGCGTTTTTAGAATAATTAATTACTATACCTACGATAAATTACAATATAGTCTCAAATATATACTAGAGAAATATTGCAATTTGAATCAATGAAAACATACATACAAAATATGTATAATACACAAGAAATTCCGCGCGCAAATCATAGCTCGTGACAACCGAAATCAGAATATATTTTATAACAAGTCAAACAAGTGAACGAAGTTTGGCAACGCTTTTGTTTCGTCAATTCAAGGTCAGGAATACGTTAGTACTCTTATCAGTTTGTTGTCAGGAACGACGGCAACGTCGCTTTACCTACGACTTTTGGTATTTATATTGCCATACAACAATAATAAGTAATAAAATTGTTTACAAAAAAAACATAGGTGTCTAAGATCATTAGTTTTTTTAACGGTTGGAAAGGAAATTAACCAATTATTGAACTTAAGATATTGATTTATCAGAATTATTTAAGATCACTTGGATGCCATCTAGCGTCCCAATGTTTAAACGTCGCCTTTCGTTTGCTTGTCAAAAGTCACGCTAAAGAAATGTCAAATTTTTCCGGGATTTCACTATTGTTTTTCTCAGTATATAAGGTAAGTTATTGCCTATAAAGGTCAAACGCGTACACATTTCATTGTAGAGAAGTGATAAAATGATTAGTTTTAAAGAAAGAGTGTCTGTGTTTAGTGTATATTTTGGTTAAAAAATGTATGAGCGGACGGTCGACGCATCCACCTTAATATTATAAAACAATATTATAAAATCACCAAAACTGCCTAATTTTTTCGGTTATAAATATATCTATTTTAATTCTTTTATCAAAATACATGTAATGTTAAATATCCAAAAAAAGTTTTAGCTCGCTTCATTTTGTCAATTATTTTATATAATTCTTTCAAAAATACTATAAATCATCACGCGCAGACGCCGGCCGATTCAGTACGCTCCAAGTAATCCCAACGATAGGACGTATTACTTTTTTCACCGACACCGCGCGATCGCGTTGATACACCGATAGGGCTATACTACACTATACTGTAACTAGCTGCCTATAGAACGAACGAGCATTTTAAACAATTAACTTTTATAAGCAATATTTTTGTTAGTAAATAATTTTGAAATATGTTTATGGTAATGGTAATATTTAAATATTAAATAATGTAATGGAGGTAAATTTACATTTCATATATATTTTTTTAGAAATGGGTGAATGTTCAAATTCGGATCTAGTAAAAATACAAAATCGTTGGCTTTCACCTTTGGTTCCGTGGCGGAGTGACTTGGTGATGAGTTGTAGCGCTGAGCGCCGCGGGTTCGAATCCCATACGGAACAAAAGTTTGTATAACCTACAAATAATTATTCCGGGTCTGCATGTTTGTCCTTGTGAAATTAATGTATTTAAACTGCCCCCACGATGTACTTTGGAAAAATTCCTAGTGTGGAGATAACGTTATGATTAAACAAAGACATAAAAAAGATATGAACCGTGCTTGAGTTGAGTAAATCAAGGGCGAAGTGCTCGCCGTAAACGCGAGCAATCCGGGTTCGATCCACGCCGACGCTAATGGAATTCTTAGTTTGATGAATTATGTTTACATTATGAAACAGAATAAAAGTTTACCAAATGATATATATGTTATATAGTAAATATTTTTCAATTAGAACATAAATTATAATATACTCAATAGGGTGAAAATGTAAAGCCAACTTCAATTTACTAAAAGAATAAAACAATTTCCACATATTAGCCTCCGATTTCTATACACTATATAGGCCATTATGCGGAAATTATTTTTTTATTCTTTTAGTTCTTTGGTTCTAATAATATAAAAATGATTCGCTCAACTAAAGCCGACTTTCCACTATGGGATATAATATAATTTATATCACATCTCGAGATATAAATTAATATCGCTCACCGTACTTTTAAATGGAACCGTTTCTACTGAGATATAATATACAATATGTAACGTAATTAACGCACACCCCCAGACACCCCAATTAGTTTATTATGTTATAATCATAATACATACACTGAATTTTTAGTTAAACATTTTTATGCACTGATTATTTATCAAATTAGTTATACTAATCCCGGAAGAATGTTGTGGTCACAGTACGAATCCACGAACGCAAAGACTTTAACGTGCTTGAAATAAAGTTCATTTTTCTTTATTTTTATTGAATGACAGATTAGTAATAACACAAATAAAACTGCACTCTTAAAAGTCTTATTGCCTTAAGTTACGGTCCATTTCGGTTTGTTTTCACTGTACAGATTTAGTGTGACTGTAACTTACGTAATTTTAATTATATTTGGGATAAAAATTACCCTATATTAAAAATGATAGGAATCGATTCAGTAAACGATTCTGAACAAACTACTTTCTCAAAGTGCGTTAATTATGTTACGTGTTGTATATTACATCCCAAACTATAAATATTTTTTCGATCGACCGAGCGATATTTTCATATTATATTTCACCTCCTTTACCCCGTACACCCTTCCGCGCCTCCGCTACGTCGTCAGATCGTCCAATGACGAACGCACACTGGTTAAAAAATATATCCCACAGTGGATATTAAATCCCATAGTGGAAAGCCAGCTTAAAGACAACTAGCCTCGCGCTCGCCCTGACACGCACATAGAGATTTTAACATTGTACGGTAGTGTGCGTCAATATTACGCCGTTCCAAAGCGATCGCGTAGATTTCGACTTGGACATATTTGAATCTCTTATAAATACAAAGTAATCCTCACGTATATATGAAAAAATCTAGGATATACTTAGATATTTGTGTCAAATACGCGGGGCAATTACAATGCACTAAATTCTATAAACTTATTTTACATATTATACATTAGCTGCTTTTTTTTTGCACAAATGTTGGCTCCATGTACATACGTAATGATCAAATCTTGAGCCCCGATGCAGTATCTACTCCCAAGGTAAATTTAGACCACTGAAGCGCGCCTTATATATATAAAAATTCGTCAAACCTCATCATCCATTTTCAACTGCATTTCCTCGTCATCATCCTCCATGGGGGTGAAGATGAATTTTTCTCCGTAACCTGCATCCTTTAACCTCTGCTCAGCAGCAGCCATACTGAAGTATGCGCAACATTGCTCAGGCGACACCATTGCTCGGATTTCTTCTTCAGATGGCAGTCTAAAGTCGGGTTTTATTACCCACCTGAAAATTAATAACAACAATTTTATGCGCCTTGTGTTGGCAACGCAAAAGAATCCATAGTCCCGTAAATTTCGACTATATCACAAGAGTCGTAGAGTAAACGTACTGTATAAACGCGTTTTTAACTATACGATGCAAGTGTGTTACGTTTAGAGATTCCGTACACGCAAAGTTGGTGTTGTTGTATTGTTTAAATGTATCAGTTTTGATCATAAGCTTTGTTTATTAATATTCATTTTGGTGTTAAGAATAAACAGTGCAGTTGCGGAGAAATTCCAACCGGTAAACGATTCAATCGACAACAAACAGAAACGTCAAAGGTGCGAGACGTCTATAATGCAATAGCCACTCCGCTCGCCCAAACCTCCCTCTAATGGAAGTTGTCCATGTCCAAAATTTGACTGATACAGACTGGTAAAGAAGAAAAAGCTTTACAAGTTTTGATCTATTAATTCCATTTGAGAGCATTTGAAGTATACAGTTTGTTCTATTTTAATATGAAACAATTTGCTTAAACAACGATAAAATAAATATTACATTCCATTAGCTTATATTTTTATAGATTTAATTCCACACATTAATAATAATAATCATTTATTACAGTCACAAAAATCAATAATTTCAAATTTAATAAATAAATTTGAAATGTTAAAATAGCACATGCAATATTTCTTGAAGTAAATTAATCGCGGATTTTCTTTATTTCTTATATCCATAATTAATATCACATTACAGTATCACTTCTATTAGAACGCTTATTACGACCACTTCGAAGAACAAATCCCTCCGGCCGAAAATTAATAAATAGATATTTAAATATGACATTTAAATCTAAATTACACATTCTTTGTTTTTTAAACTTAACCTCTCGAACACCAAGCGGCCAAATTTGACCGCTTCGATATTCCGGGATGGTTTTCTTCGACCTGAAACTGATTCGTTTAATGTCTTCCGTATTTTACGGTATTTTATTTTTCAATCCCCATAAAATTTAGAAGGTGCGGGCAAATTCGCATGCAACCGCACCCACACACAGCACTTTAACCCATAAAAAATTATATTTAGATACTACTTTTCTATGAAGAAGTTTGGCATTATAGAATCAATATAAAATTTTCTATCCTCTAGTGGAATAAAAAAACAGTTAGTCTATGGATATTAATTTATATTCTACGTTCATTACGTACGCCATTTTCATTTGGATGTTGTTGTGTTGATTTTTGGATTTTTATAGTGTTTTATTATTGTTTTAGTATAGTGTTTTACTTTTTATAAAATTGTTATTGAAGTTTTCTGTGAATATGTGAAGTGTTGAAGGGTTAAATAAATATGCCGTATAAAGTAAGCGAAGACAGACTCGCATCGTACGTATCGTATCAAACGAATCAGTTTCAGGTCGAAGCAACAACCATTTGCAATCGAATTTTTTAACAATAGTATTTGGACGTGCCAAAAAAACCTTGAAATCTCGTTTCCACGTAGGTGTATTTTTAAGCCGAAGGTGACCGTAGCCGAAGACTTCAGACATATAGATGACTGCGGTCCGTCCGCTGCGGATCAGTAGTGAGCGCACTTGTTTGACTTTTTATACAAATAATTCTAAATCCATTTGATACGATCCATTCGATGCGAGCCTGTGACGCTACTTATTATGTGTTGTCCGTTATTTCTTGTTCATTTTTAACGACATATACAAAAGTATTATTTTAGTTCGCGTATTACTATTTATATATTTAAATACATACCAGTTAGAGTCTAAGCCCGTTCGCTTGAAATCCGCACACAGCTTTAGACGCTTTCGTATAGAGCTCTCAGAGTGTGAAGGGAAAGCTCTTTTAATATCATCCATTTTGATGCGTCGTGGATTGTCACGAGATTTCCAGAACAATCGGTAAATATAAACCTAAGGAAGAACATATATCTTAATAAAAAATGAATTCAATGTTAAATCATCCGCATAGGAGTAACAATATAAAATCATACCTGCAGAAAATCTCGAACGAAATTGTTAGCTCTTTTAGAGTTAGGACCAGGAACTTCGTACAGGGGGACATTCCTGCCCAGCAACAAATAAGGCGTCAATCTCTCGAATGTAGTAGCCTTGTCTGAAAATATTAAGCCAAAATATTAAAAAATCGCGAGAATTGCCAATATTATTAAAGCCCCTTCAAGTCTTATGACAAGTCCACTGCTGGACATACGACAAATCTGAGTCATCGTCGTTCTGCATGTCTTACCAGGCTCTCACTATATTTAGTGGGAGGCCACTCTATACTCCAAATACCGGCAGGATGATGACATATTTGGTGACTAATTGTAAATTAGATTTTTATTGTATATAGAACACACTTGATAATTTTATCAATATAGGGTATATTAATATTGCAAATCAACGTTCAAAAGCGTATTAAATATTTTAATTTTTAAACAGACCGTAATTAAGGAGTAACTCATGAAAATAGTAACCCCAATAGTATATTTGCAGGCATTACTGTCGTTTGAGAATCAGACTTGTGTCCCTTTGCACTGATAATAGATCCTAATATATATATATATATATATATATATATATATATATATATAACAGGGTGTTAGTGTAAACACCGTTATCTTTGAAACCAGTGGTTTGGTTTCACTTATAGAACGTAAATTCAATGAAAAATAACATTTTTTTTTAGTGAAATCTCAATTATTCCTTAATTCCTCTATTTTTGCTTGTCCTAAGCCAGGTTGAAAGTATGATGGAAAAGTTACATCACAGGTTATGTTTACCTATTGTGTTTTTTATTGGAATGTTGTGTAGATAGCTAGGGCGGGCGGTGATCTTTACAGTGATTACGTCACTCGGGCGCATAGGGTATCCATAAATTTACGGACGGTGTTGGACAGAAACTTTTTAAATTTTATGAAAGAAAATAGCGGTTTCTTTATTAAATTTGGATAAATATTTTTATATTAAAGCCAACTACCTATAGTTTTAGTGACGACGGTGTTTACACTTACACCTTGTATATATATATATTTTTTTTTTTTTTTTTTATATTTTATAAAACCTGTAAATTTCTTATAAATGTACAGGGACATATTCTACAGTAGTGTTTTATTCTAATAAACCAAGTTTACAGCTTACCTGGTTCTAATGACAAGGAAATCGGACTGTGGTAATGTGTGTTCGTAAATTGGGGCACGGTACATATTATTCTCCACAACAGGCTGGGATGCTCCCGGTGCTAATATTCCCAAAAATGGTGATGTATGTGCATAGGCTACCTCACCATATTTGAAAGGTTTTGGTCCATTGTCCTGAAAAAAAAATCTTTATTATTCCCATATTATATTTTACTTTATTTTTTATTAATACTGCCAAGATCAAAAAACTTTTCTATTTATTTGTATCTTTTTTTATTATGTTAATAAGTATTGAAATTACTAACAGGGATAATTATAAGTGCATCATTATTTCAAACATGCTTTTATTTATTAAAAAAAAAAATAGAAACTGTATAAAAATAAAGTCATCTTGTTGAAATAACTCATTCGTAGTATCAATACTCACCTTAGTAGCAGTTCGTTTGTAATAATTCTTGATCTTAGAGCACATTCCAACCTGGCTGATGAGAGGTGGATGTTCTTCGCAGAATTCAACTAAGACTAACTCGCCATCCTTGCCACTCAGATCCTCTGGAGTACGCATAAAGAATACATCACCACCGCCAGAAGCCAATCGTTCTGCTTCACGTTGCTATGAAAAAGAACATTTTCTTTGAATAAAAATTAAAAATAATTAGAATACAGTATGTCTAAAGGCACGGCATACCATTGCCATTAAAGCCTATCAAAAGTTCCCAGCTAAATATATCCCAATATATTACCTCATAGGGCGGATATTTGTCATAGTTGCCAGACTTGACAAACGGGTTGACAATTGCTGTTTTTACGAGTGAAACTGCTTTATCGACGTAGTGGAGTAATTTATTACGGTATGAATAAAAGTTACGTTAGTTATACTGGGGGTCATTGTAGAAGCGTGCTCGTCGCGACCCCTGCCAGCCCTTTTCAGGGCTGCAATTCTACACAGCTGCGCACCCATGCAAACGAGAGTTAGGGCGTCCCCCCCAAGGCGACGCACACCAGCTCGCCCCCGTTGGTGTGGAATGCAGCGCGCAAAGCGGCGATGGGGACCGCCACCCGTCACGCACAGCCCGACACGGCTGAAGGTGGAGGACAAAGTGCAGAGTTGGCACGTGGAATGTTAGAGGGAGCATGAGAGATAAGACGAATGAGTTGATCGAAATAATGAAAGAAAGAGAATTAGATGTCGTGTGTATGTCGGAGACCAAACGGAAAGGCAGTGGTACTGAAGAGCTCCCTGGCGGGACGTTAGCTATATGGTCCGGAGTCCCGGAAAGCGAGAACGCCTGCCAGGGAGTGGGGGTGCTGTTGTCGTCTCGGTTGGTCGATCTTATGACTGAATACAAGGTTGTGAACTCAAGACTTCTCTGGGTTCGCTTTAAACTGGGACTGACGTAGTTATTCTTTTTGGCTGTTTATGCGCCGGTAGCTTCGTCGTCCAGGGCTGAGCTTGAGGAGTTTTGGGAGAATATAAGAGAAGTTCTAGATTTGGTTAAGGGAAACGAAAGAACTGTTGTATGTGGTGATTTGAATGGATGGGTAGGTATCGCTCGACCAGGATACGAGTCGGTGCTTGGAAAGTTTGGCGATAAAAGGGTTAATGATGCTGGCAAGCTTATACTGGCTGTATGCAAGGAAAAGGGTCTTCTTGTGACAAACACTATGTTTAATCACAGGAAAATCCATATGTACACTAGAGAAAGAAAGAATGAGAGAAGTATGATTGATTTGTTCCTGGTGTATGACCGACTGCGAAAACAGGTGATGGATACACGAGTGTTCAGGGGTGCTGACCTGGGAACGGATCACTATCTAGTAATTACTAGATTTAGGTGTTTGTTCGCGGGTTGGCGCTACCGGACGGCAGTAACAGAACCACAGTCGGTCTGTCGCATCCGAAGCTGGAAGCTTCAGGAAGCGGATACTAGGGACAAATATCACACGAGGGTAGCCGAAAAGCTTGACACCATCGATGGCAGGAAAGAATGTGTGGAGAGAACATGGCAGAACCTTAAGGATGGAATGGTAAGTGCAGCGGAAGAAGTATGTGGAACGACAAAAAGAGGTAGTAGTAAAAGAAGAGATGCATGGTGGAATGATGAAGTGAGAGAAGCTGTAAAAAAAGAAGAAAAATGCATGGTTACACTACTTGGCCTCTAGTAATGATAAGCATATGAGAGAGAAGATGAAAGAAAGATATAAGCTGCAGAAAGTTCATGCGAAAATATTGATTGAGGAAGTACGTGAAAGGTGCAGAATAGAAGCGGACGAGAGGTTGTCGCACAACTTTAAGGAAAACTCCAAACTCTTCTGGAAAGAGGTTGGAAGGTCCCGGAGTGGTGCGACAGCCTTAAGAATGAACAAAGTGCTTTCGAGAACCAATGACGTCCTCACAGAAAAATTGGACGTCATGCAGCGTTGGAGTGAATTTTATAGGAAAATGTATGCGTGTCATGATCTTAATGAAGGATCCGGGGGTGACGCCATGACTGGCACGCCAGACACGGACCTCGATGACACTGAGGTCATCAGCATGAAAGAGATTGAACGTGCGATTCGAAGTTTGAAGGGGGGAGAGTGCTGAAAGGTACGGTGGCTCGCTGGCATTGTGTGTGCATTTTGATTCATGTTTGTGATTGTTTTACTCGAAGGTTTTGACACGGATGTTATGATGATGACGATCAAACGTTTTCTCTCCGCATGATCACGGAAAAGCTTCTGAGTGTTAACCAGAGGATTTTCTGTGCTTTTGTGGATCTGGAGAAAGCATTTGATAAGGTTATAAGGAAGAAAATGTGGGAACTGTTGCCGGGATATGGTGTGGATGGTCGATTGTTAAGGGCTGTGCAGTCACTTTACTATGACTGTAAAGCCGGTGTGCGGGTAGGGCATGACCTGTCACCCATGTTTAGCGTCCAAGCGGGCGTAAAACAGGGTTGTGTCATGTCTTCCTGGCTGTTCATACTGTATCTCGACAGCTGTTTACAGAAGCTGAAAAATAGCTGTTTGGGTGTGAAATTGGGTGACATTAAAGTAAATTGTCTGCTGTATGCTGATGATGCAGTGCTTATATTTGCATTATCACCATCAGAAGCAGAACTGCAGGCATTAGTCACGTGTATGAAAGAGGAATGTGAAATTAAAGGTCTCCGTTTGAATGCTATAAAACTAAGGGTTCTGGTATTTGAAAAGGACGAAGAGAGACGAAATGTGAAATATGGGTAAATCAGGAATGTCTAGAACAGGTAAATGAAATTGTATACTTGGGGAGTGCTTTCAGCCGGGATGGAAGATGTGATTTAGATGTGGATAGGCATGTCGCTGCCGGAAACAAAGTCAATGGTGCCCTGAATGCATTAGTCAAAAGGCAAGGCGTGGTGAAGAGTGCACGCCTTGCACTACATAACGCAGTGTTGGTACCGACTTTGTTATATGGCAGCGAAACCTGGGTATGCCAGAAGAAGCACAAAAGCAAGTTGAATGCAGTGGAGATGCGATCTCTTCGTAAAATGTGTGGCGTTACCATAGCCGATCGAAAGCGAAACGAAGAGATTCGCAATATGGCAGGATTGAAAGATGACCTTATCACAAAAATTGATAGGGGCGTACTCCAATGGTTTGGGCACGTTGAGCGAATGAGTGAAGACCGAATGGTGAAGAAAATATATAGAGCGAAAGTAAATATTAAAAGGTGTCGAGGTAGACCGAGACTAACTTTCGAAGACCATGTGAGCAAATTGCTCGAAGAGGGGAAGATCAAGAGTACTCGGATACCTAGACGTGCATGTATGTAGAAGTTAATGAACCTGAAAGAAGTGAAAGAGGTATGTAAGATTCGTGACACTTGGCGATCTGTTATCTCTGGCTACCCCGTTAGGGATTGTGCGTGAAGATAAGTAAGTAAGTTAGTTAATACTTCAAGATTTTCGGGAGAATATGTGTTTGGAGAAATTGTTATAGTTGCAGAAAGAATGGGGAACACCTTCACAGAGTAAAAACTTAAAATAGCAGCATAATGCTGCTGTGTGTTTCGTATGGTGAGTGACTAGACCGGAAGACCCATTTTACTGGTAATAAGGCGTTGATTCCAAGTCCTCAGGGGTGACAAGTCTACTATATTTTTATTTTTAACCGAGGATTGATAAAGGTGTTTATGAGCCACAGCCACAGCATCCACTTACCATCAGGTGGATTATGTGATTGTTTTTTGTATCCTTATTTCTATATAAAAAAGAAACTTTGACAACCGATAGATAAAAAAATGCTGAACAAAACCAAAGGATGAAACAACATCTATGTGTGCCAAGGGCAATAAAAATAGTATAATCTTTGAGAAATCTATTCACATTCTTTAAACAGGCCTATTTCTAAAAGCGTGTCTAAAGGTTGATATCAATGATAAAACTTGTATTACTTGTAGTACTTGATTGTATCTATTTTTATAAGTGGTGATTAAGTGACAACCGATTTCTAGTGGTCCATAGACACCATAGTAAATTCCGATAAGATGGAATGTACGGTATCCAGTTCACAACATGAGAGTTTTCGTTGCTGTCTTAGTCGAAACAAAGTAAAACTTTTCGAATATTTCAGATTCGTTATCGCCTGTGCAACGCAATTAAAAAGACCTAGCAATGACATCTGTTAATGAACCTAATCTGTAATTACAATACTGATACAACACACTTAGACTGAACCACTTTACGCGTAATAAAGGTTATTGATAGAATCAGGCGTTACTTTGCGGAAATCCATTATAATAAAGATATTAATAGTTACTTTGCAACCACCCGCTCAATTAAATAGAATTCCTGAATAGTGGTATTGGGAGTAGTGGTATTGGGTGTAGTGGTGCTGGGATTAGTGTTGACGGGATTGGTGCACGATTGGTCGAGGGAGGGCTGGAGGTGCTCTTCAAACTAGGGAAGACACATTATTTTATTTTATTGAGCGGGTGGATGCAAAGTAACTATTAATATCTTTATAATAAAGGTTTTCAGGCTTGTCTAACCTTTCATTTAGAGCAGAATCTTTAGGTGGTCTCATTGCAATAAAAACAAATAAATGATGTTTTATTATTACATGGGTGACAAACGAGCACACAGTCCACTTCATGGTAAGCGGATGCTGTGGCCCATAGACGTCCACATTTATCTTCAATCAAGAATCAAAATGCAAATGCGTTGTCACCCCTGAGGACTAAAGTGGAATGCTCAATTCCAGTAAAAGGGTCTCAGGTTCTCTACATTCACCATACGAAACACAGCCGTATTACGCTGCTGTTTTACGCTGGTATTCTGTGAGAGCGCGGTCCTGCCCCTGTCGAGCGGACCCATTCGTGCTACAACTATAATATAGCTGCAGCGTGGCCCTACCATGTGTTTTCGACCCAAATGAATTCATAGATTTAAACAGCTTTTGACTACTTATTTTGTAGTTTAATAAGGGCATAGAGTTCAGTATATATAATTTATTTTTATATTGCAATTAATCATAAATACTGTTCAGATTTGCTACAGTACGATATACGAATTGAAACTAACAAACGCCAAGTATTTCTTTATGAAGACGAAATATATGGATTTTTGATATATGTCATTTATTTAATCTACTTAAGCAACCAATTTCAAAACGTTAATAATTTAAAAGAAGTAAAATCTAAGAAACAACATATCACCTTAGCTTTTTTCTTAATATGTTTCAACAGAGGTTGAACTGGATGAGGCCCATTCGATGCCAGAGGTCCATAGGTAAGTTTCCTCATAGCAGGTCGATGGAAGGCGCGTAGTCTCGCTGGTCCCATGTGAGTTTGTATGAAGGGAGCTCGTAATTCCACCACTGGAGTGCTGTGTTGAATGAGTTGACCTCCGCCCACTTTAAGACGTGGGTTTTGGGATTTCGGTTGGTAGTACCTGAAATAAAATTTAATGTATTTAATTTTTGAAAAATTGAAGTGGCAAACGAACTAATAGTCTCATCATCATCATCTTTACAGCCCTTCAAGTCAACTGCTAAACATAGGCCTCCCCAAGCAATGCAAAGCACTGTCCTGATCCATCTGCATCCATCGACTTCTTACATGTCTCATCAGGTCGTCACTCCATCCAGTGGGGAGTGGCCCTACATTTCGGCTACCGGTACGAACTCGAGACCTTTTTTCCCCCATCGTTGGTTAGTTCTTCGAGCTATATGGCTGGCTCATAGCCACTTCAGCTTACTAATCCGTCGGGCTATGTCAGTCACTCTGGTTCTAGTGCGGATATCCTCATTTCTAAGTTTATCACATAGAGAAACCCTGAGCATAGCCCTCTCCAAAGCTCATCGAGAAACCTTGTGCTTCCTCTATGACCAGCAGTGAAGGACCACCTCACAGATCCATAAATCATCACTGGCAACACGTTGTACAATCTCGTTTTCAAGTTTTGAAGTGTATCTGACGAGAAGATTTGTCGTGATTTCCGTCCGTAAGTTGAACCTGTCGATTGACCTCTCAGCCAAAGTTAAACTTATCTAGTCAGATTATTTGTCCCAGGTAAACATACTCGTCAACAACTTCGAGCTTAGTGCTCCCAACAACTACCGGCATAGGTGTGACTTGCATCTTCCCTGCAACCTCCCGCTAATTTCAAATGCGAAATAAATCGCTGTCGAAAAATTTCATTTCCTGGAACGAATGAACCAATTTTGATGCGGTTTGCGGTAATTGATGTTGTTTTTTGAGGTTAGGAGCTGATTAGATTTAGGAATCAATCGATACATTAGTTTAAAAAATATATCCAAAAAAAAATTTTTTTTTGAAAATTTAATGTTTGAGATATCTCAAAATCTTCCGAGCCGAATTGATTCATATTCAAGTGAAATCTAATGACCATAGAACTCTTTCGAAACACACACACACACACACATACACACCACGCACACACACACACACACACACACACACACACACACACACACACACACACACACACACACACACACGCACACACGTGCACACGCACACGCACACCGCACACACACACACACACACACACACACACACACGGCGGGGACGCGCACGCGCAAGTTAAACATTAACTTTTACATACTAGTATTATTTATAGATCTATATAGAATAAAAAAGTTCTTGTTTCTATGAAAATTGTACAAATTTGTGTTTACACTGACTGGCTAGAGCAGTAAGCATTCGTCGTAAATTATACAGTACACGAGCAATCCGGGTTCGACCACCGCCTACACCAATAAAATTATTAGTTGTGGCGCCTGATCGACGGCAAATGAAAATACCATGAAGAATCCTGCAAAGAAATGTGACGTCCGCCAAAACGCGTTGGGGTAACGCGGTTAACACAAAAATTATTTTGAAAGAAATGTGATGTCCGCCAAAACACATTGGAACAGCGCGGTGTACACTTATTTGTCCTATAACCCGCTCAGAAATTAAAAGGGGCCTGGGCGTCAAGTTTAATATGTGTAGGACAAAAATATTGCAAAATACTCACACATCGTTAGATATATTGAAAGGATCTCGATCTGGAGATTTCGGTGGAGGCGGGGGCGCATCTTCTTGCAGAACATTAATAACACCCGCCTTGCCCAATAATATCTTAGACTTCTTTACGTGCGGGTGAGGTATCTTTACTTTTGGCGCCGGCCCTCGTTCTGAAAGGACATAGTTAAATATCAGATACTTGTTAATAAATCTTTCATAAAAAATATAGTGTCGTGGAAGCATATTACAAACATAAATTGCAATAGACAAACATCCAGACCCCGAAAACTTGTAGCCTGCAACGCCGTAAACAAACGTTTAGGCACTGCACCACCTAGCCTTCTCTAAGTAATCAAATTGTAATTAATTGTCATCATCATCATCAATTTAGCAAACTGATCCAGACCCTAACTGTCGACACATCTTGTGTCTGATCTAAGTCATCTCCCTAGCCCATGATTATATTAAGATAAATGAGATATATCGCTTATTTCGTAAAACGAAAAAAATTCACGGGTTAGTTTTTATACGCGGGTTGCTTAACATTAGCAGAGTGTCTAACAATACAATCATTTATTAATTATCCTATCCTATACCTTTAAACGAGCAATTCTTGTATATATATATATATATATATATATATATATATATATATATATTTTTTTTTTAATCGGAATCTCGGAAACGGCTCCAACGAATTTTCATAAAATGTAGTGTCCAGGGGAGCAATAAATCGATCTAGCTAGGATTCATTCTTAGAAAATGTCGTTTTGTGCGTGTTTTCAGGCAATGAAAAACTGCTACAATATAAGAATATAAGAAAAGAAGGAGAATTATAAGGGCTGTCGCGAAATCGTAGTGCACTGGTTTGCGTCCTGTCTACGGTCAGGCTTTTTTCCCCCTTTTTTTCAAGTTCCCTTCTTTTGTGAGAAAATCTATTAATTCGAGCCCTTTTTTAGTATTTTTTTATATTAAATAATCATATAAAAATATTAATATTAAACTAAACGACTCATGATTATTTAATTAAATAACCAGTTTAGTTTTTTCTATTATGTCAATAAGATCAAAAAATATTATTGATGTTTCATCATTATGTAATTTGTATCTAAATATAATTTCCAAAACACACGATTTTCAAAAACATTAAAAACTATTACTACTACGCCGTTCCTCCATCCATATCCTATTACGAGTTCTTTTTTATTTATATTATATTATATATTATTAGTTCACTGCTGAACATGGCTTCTCCTTTAAATTGCCTCAGTCAGAGGATTTTGCCATAGTTGCTACACTTAACAGGCGGGTTGGCAACCGTGGTCTTTTATTATGGGGCTTATTTGATATTCACCGCCACTACATGGTTTGGCATTAATGTTTTAAGATAATTGATAGAATCAGGCGTTACTTTGCGGAAATCCATTATAATAAAGATATTAATAGTTATTTTGCAACCATCCGCTAAATTAAATAAAATGATGTGTCTTACCTTGTTTGAAGACTTACTCACTTAGCGACTCACTTAACGGTCAGTCGCCGTAGAGTCAACATCACCTGAAGATGCCTCGTGTATAGTCCGTTCGCGTTAAGAAAATAGTGAGTCATCAGCGCAACTACAGGGTAAAGGTGTATTCACAGTGGAGTAATAATTTTTTTTCAAACATTTAATTAAGTTTAATGGAAACAAATTTTCTTAAAATTACTTAAATCACTAATCAGTATCGCTAGATTCTCCAGTTACATTAATTATGAAAGAATTTTGTTCTGCAAGTTCCATGATGTCATCCAAATTCCACATGGTATTTTCTTCGCGTATCACGTGGTCGCAGCACTTCTTCCAACGATTAGCGTCTATTAATGCTATTGCGTCATCTAATAATTTTTTATGTCACTCATTTTGAACGTGGAGTTATTGACACCAACATATTTTTTTATTTGGGCCCAAACCAATTCAATCGGATTAAGTTTGCAATGGTAAGGCGGTAGGCGAAGAATTGTAATGCCATTACTTTTGGCAGTCTCATCTATTAAATATTTATTATATTGTGGGGCGATTTCGGCAACTTTCATTAATAATTCTTTTTTTAAATAAGTCATGTCCATGGATTTGCCTTTGTTTTGCAGCCAATCTATTATTTGCTGCTTGTTCCAGCTGGTTGTTGGTATTTTTTCGACTCTTACCGAATGATAGGGAGCGTTATCCATGACAACCACACTTCCTGGTTCTAGCTTAGGCATTATATTAATGAACCAATTAAGGAATCTTTCACCATCCATCACTTCATGACTGAGACTTAGATTCAAATACTAGTAGACCAACTTCCACAAATCCTTTGTCGCTGGCAATGTGCAATATAATTAACCTTTTACCTTTTCCTGTCGGAGCTTTTGGACCGGCTGATAAGACATCTAGAAAGGCTTGTCTTTCATTTTTTACCGTTGTATCCAACCATGCTTTTGTCTTTACGTGTCCGGCGTTTATCAACGTTTCGTCGAGATAGTAAATGGTTTTATTAGCGGCTCTGTATTCTTTTATTTGCCTCCAATATTTATGCCTGCATAAAACAATATCTTCTCTTTCGACTAACAATGTTCTGCTATCATGTTTATTGAAATCGAAACCAAGCTCGTGCATTATTTTATGAAGTGTGGTACGTTTGAAAACAGGAATATCTTCGTCAGCTTCGCAAAGTGTCATAATTTTGTCCAATGTCGGGTAGTCGTTATTTAAATATACTCCTTATTGCACATTTGTCTAGTTCATCTAATTTATCGACCGTCGATAGTCGAGCTCTTTTTTCACGGGTGATTTTAATGTGTTAGTATCCTTTTGTTCTTTAATAATTTTATAAACAGTATTTTCGGACACACCACATGCACTTGCTGTTTTATTACTGTGCTCCCCACAGTCGCATTTAAAGCACACAGTTTAAAGTACTTATAAACATTGTAAATTACGCGTCTCTCTCCACTATGGATTATTGATCCACTTTTATTCTTTCGAATAGTTGATGTATTCATTTTCAAAATTTAATGTTGAACGAGTAACACGCAAAATACACAACCGTTTTGTTCGAAGGCCTGACTTCAACTGGTCACTGAGAACTCAACTTTCTAATTTCTTGCATTTTTATTGGCTGGGGGGCGTGGCCAGGCCGGCGGACAACGATGACTAACTATTTTCTTAACGCGAACGGACTATAGAGGCGAAACACGTGTCGTATTATCGTCAATGGTGTGTGTTGGGAGTAGTGGTGCTGGGAGTAGTGTTGCTGGGATTGGTGGTGATAGGATTAGTGCACCCAATGGAGGGAGGGCGGAAGGTGCTCTTCAAACTAGGGAAGACACATCATTTTATTTAATTTAGCGGATGGTTGCAAAACAACTATTAATATATTTATTACTATTTTACATTAAGAATGAAAAAAATTACCTCGTGTAATTTTAGACGGATCTACGTCATCAGGTATGCCCAAAACAATATTTTCGTCGTTTGGATCCAGGGTTAATATTTTCGGTTTCGGGATAGTTGGCATATTTTCCGCGTCCCATATAACCTCGTCTTCCCATGTGCCATAGACTAATTCTTCATTCTCTACGGGGAAAATACTGTACCACGTGTTGTCCTCTCCTTCGCCTGTAGAGGCACCTGGCTGGTTGTTTGCTGATTGCGCCGTAGATCTACAATATTGTTTTAAATAAAACACATCGCTTCGTAAAATAGTAGCACTACATCCACACATAAATCGTCAAGGTCAACAAGATATTGTTGCGCGCCATAATTTATGCGCGGTACATAGCGGGTGATTATTAGCGCCACCTAGTATAAAGGAGCAGAAATAGGAGCGTCAAATTCTTTCTAGAACTCTCCCACTAGCGCCATCTAGTAACGAATAGAAGAACTAAGCTTTCTAGTAAACTACACTCTCGAACTTTCTACACCTAGTCGGTCGGGAACGGTACTTGCTGGAACATTCTAGTTGTTTCGGTGGAAAAGGCCTATATAAAGCCGTTCAGGGCCGCGACCGAGGCAGTATTGAATTGACGATACGAGCGAAGCTTTTGGAGCGAAATAAAGTGAACTAAAGTGTTAAGTGTGATCAATTATAAGTGTGATCTAAGTTTTAATTGGTGTTCAGTAATTAAAGCGTCAATTTTGGTAATTCAATCGGCAGTTTTTATATTCCCGAACCCTAATATCGTAACAATATTGTTCAATTTAGGCTTATTACATGATAATAAAAACGTCAGCATCTTATATGTGGTATATAGCGAAGCTGCTGAAAGCTAGAATTTTCGGTGGCAGCCCGGAGTCAGGAAGTCGGCGATGTTTCAACCCCATGGCTCAGAAAGCACGTAAAGCCTTTGGCCCTGCATCTGATTTCTCTCCGGCTGATGCCCGTCCCATTGGCCTTTGGGAGCGAGAGAATAGAGTACACTTGTACTAGCACATAAACTCGAGCGCTTTATTCCTGTCCTAAGCGGATCTGGGCAGATGCTAGTCTTCACTAGTTTGGCCAACGTGACTGGTGTTCGGTATAGAGGGCATAGGAAGTACAAGAAAAGAAATTCAAAATTATTTCATCAAATATGTTTTTTAATCCACTACCGTTTTAAAAATGGCGTTTACATGTACATGAATAAATAAAATACAAAACTACAATAAACTTATTTACAACGACTATTTTTAAGTTCAGTGAAACTATATAATTGCTTTGTAAAATCAATTGTAGAAAACTTACGTTGGTGGTTTTGGCTGCAGCGGAGTGGGTGGTTGTGGACGCGGGTGTGAGAATTGTTGAGCAGTCCTGCTCACGGAAGTGGGTACCCAGCCTGCAGCGTTACTCTTACTGTTCAGACGCGCTAGAACCTTTAAGACAATCAAGACTTCATTATATACATATCACAGATCTCCTTTCATTTCTGAGAGGGTTTAAGGTTCAGTAACATTTCAGTTATTGATAATACTGGTTGTGCCCGACATGCGATGCACTAATCGTAATTAAATTGAGGGTAAACGACAACAAATAAACAATTTTTTGTGAAAAATAATTGCAGGCGCGCCGAAAACTTAGGAAAGTTTCATCGTCATTGGATAAATTGAATAGGAACGCAATCGGGACAAAGACACATTTATTTTTAAATATTTAGCTAGATTGGACGCTTGGGTGTGATGCATGCGCTGTTTTTGAAACATAAACACTTTTAGAAAAGTGAAATCAAGTAACGCTATCTGTCAAGTAAATTATAACAAAAAAAAATATTGTTTAAAATTAAAACTAAGCGTTTTAGGGGATTGGTGGGAACTTGACCGCCGGTGGATTAATGTTGTTTTATTATTTAAATAATGTTTTGAAGTTAATTGTGTTACATAAAAGAAAAGTGTTGCGATTTGGTATACCAAGGCTGCGCATGTAAACTATTACTGGAAACGACGAAACAACTGTTCCATTGCTGGTATAAACCTCAAGTTGATTTCCTTAGGCACCTTAAGAACGTCGTCATCAACTGTCTGTTGGTTCATGCTGCTTTGGAAATCTCGCCAAAAAGTCTAAGCTGATGCATCGACATATTGTGAGGAAGTTTCTTGAACAAATCATTATAATGCCTAGGCCACAACACATTTATAAAACTTCGCCATCGGCCTACGGCAAAGGTGCCCGGCCTCACTGCGCGTTGTAGTTTATCGAGATAAACACACGGTATACTCAAATGGACGCCGCGGCATAAAAGATAATTTCCAATTATTTTATACTGGCAAAGGTACAACCGTAGGATTCCGTTGCCAAAGCGAAAAGTTAGATAACTTAAATAAAATAAATTAAAGAAAAGAGCGGTCTGATTGTAATTAATTGTACTAATCACATATAATACGCCGACGTAATGTATAACATTTAATTACCACGAAGCAGGTTTTGGGTACAGAACAAGCATTTGTATGGGCTACAAAAAGTAGATCCTGATCTGTCTCCTCCATGACTATGACAAAATAAATGATGAAATGAAAAACCTACATGACAAGTAATGAAATTTCTAATATATAGGTATAGTTGTTTTAAAAACAGAAAAATATATTTAGAAATCCAATCCGACTTAACCCAAAATACTTTTATAAACGAAATATACGTAAAAAATTTAGAGAAGTAAAATAAAAGGATTTCTATCTTACCTTATGCTTTATTTCACTGCCATCCCAGATAACATCATCCTCCCATTGCAATTGAGAAACCATCAGAAATGCGTCATCAGGGAAACCACTGTCAGGGCTATCAGAATTTTGATCTTTTTCAGAATTGATTTCTTCAGATTCTTTAGGTTTGTCTTCGGTTTCAGTGGATGGACCCTAAAAGCATGAATTGCACTCCATAAGTCTCTGATATGTTTGTGTTTTAACATTACATTCGTGGTTTGTAAAAACTTTAAGGAGCAAACTTTTTAAATTCTGAAATCTCTTTTCTTTATAGGATCGGGTGACAAACGAGCACACAGTCCACCAGATGGTAAGTGGTTGCTGCGGCCCATAGACATCTACATCTATCCTCGATTACAAATCAAAATGCAGATGTGTTGTCACCCGTGAGGACTAAGATGGAATGCCTCGTTTCCAGTAAAAATGGTCTCCGGTTCTCTACACTCCCCATATGAAACACAGCAGCATTAAGCTAATATGTTACGCTGGTATTTTGGTCCTTCCCCGGTCGAGCCGACCCATTCGTGCTACAACTATACTACTAATATAACTGCAACATGGCTCTACCACGTATAAAAATCAATCAAATCATCTCTCTAGGTATATATAAAAATCATTTGCTGTCCGTTAGTTTCGCTAAAACTCAAAAACAGCTCAACCTACTTTGATTTAATTTTTGTGTGTGTTTGAATCGGTATTTAGTTGGTTGAGATTCACATTTGGACCCAGCAGATGGCGCTACTGTAAAATACATATTTTCGACCAATGAAGAAACGCGCCCCGCTTGGCGCTTAATGGTTGGCGAATAAAATGGACCACCTCTGCTGCCGCTCACTCTCTTCCAACGCAGTCGCAACACCAGAGGGCATCGTCCTCGAGGCCGCTGAAGCAGAAGGAACCCCATCCCGGTAAGTGCTCCTTTAAATTATCTTGAGCTGTTCTTTAATTTCTTTACTGTGTCATCTTTCTCCTAACAGCTCAAGTTTAATTCCATTACAGGGCACTGGCTAAATAATAGATTAGGTAATAGCGTGTGCATTGCCCGAGACTGCCACGTGCCACATCAGTCACCCTGTTTGGTTATAGGGAACCACGCATACAGTCCACAAGAAAATCGATCTCGCATTATAAATTTTGGCCCGCCCCGGGAATCGAAAATTTATTATATAAATTGGAAGTTAGTCACTTTAGATACATTGATATTTGTATGGGCCTTAACCGTTACATGGCCGTTGTATATTGGTTGGCGGCTTTACAATCGCAGTAGCAGGCGTCTCCCACCATTAACCCCGAACGAACGAACGAAACCAACTCAAAACATCATTGTCAACGAGTTGGGTTTCCACAAGGTGTCTGCGAGGTGGGTTCCGCGACTGCTTTCAGTTGAACAAAAAAGGACGCGATTGACTATTTCACGCGACTGTTTGGAGTTATTTGAAGCCGATGCAGATGATTTTTTGAATCGTTTTGTTACTATGGACGAAACATGGGTTCATTACTGTACACCGGAAACAAAACAACGATCAAAACAGTGGAGAAGACCTGGTTCACCACCCCCTAAAAAGGCTAAGTCGATTTTGTCGGCAAATAAGGTGATGGCTTCAGTATTCTGGGACTCGAAAGGTGTGATTATGATTGATTATCTTGAAAGGGGTCAGACTATAAACTCTGATTACTACTGCACCTTACTACGTCGTTTACGAGAGGAAATAAAAGAAAAACGTCGAGAAATGCTCAGAAGAAAAGTCCTGTTTCATCAAGATAACGCCCGTGTTCACACGTCAGTACAGTCAATGGCTGAAATTCACAACTGTGGCTTTGAACTGTTACCGCATCCGCCGTATTCACCTGATCTGGCACCATCAGACTTCTTTCTGTTCCCTAACCTAAAAAAGCACTTGGGAGGTCAAAGATTTTCGACAAACGACGAGGTCAAAGCAGCTGTAGACGCATATTTTGACTCTAAGGAAGAATCATTTTTTTTCAACGGTCTAAATGCTTGGAAGGGGAGGTGGCAAAAGTGTATTGAACTTGATGGTGATTATGTAGAAAAATAAAAATATAACTGATTTAGTATGTGTTTATTTTCTTGGTTAGGCCGAGTACTTTTCAATCCACCCTCGTATTAGGATTATAAGCCATATTCTCCTACAACATTAACCACTTGTTAAACAAGCTCTAATAATTACAATTAACAATTTCAGTAAAGCAGGCAAGGTCATTCTCAAGTTAGTCATATTCTGAGTAGCTTTTTTTCAGTTCAATAATACTTTATTTGTATATTATCTTGGCATGAATGATATAAAACACGACAAGTCTATAAAGAAGTACAACATTTTCCTTTGTCAGAATGGATCATTAATAAAGACTACAGAGCATTTCACACAGAGTAAAGGAGTTACAGGAATCAAATAATTTGTAACTTCGAAAGAGATAAAAAAGGTATGATACCTTACACTTAAATCCGTAATCGAAGCCCTCACCGGTCTCCGGAACATTGAGCATATCATACCACATTTGAGCCGGACCAAATCGCCAATGCGCCGGTGTTGGTCTATGAGATTTATCTCCAGAGTTTTGTGAATTATTTTCAGCATTCATTTGTTGGTTCTCCTCCATCGGTCTAAAAATTAAGTAATTCAATATGTTTTATTGTTATCACGATATGTAATAAATTTATGAAAATACATATATAAATATATATACAAATACATACAACTATAAAAATTACACTAATTTGCAAAAAAAACGGGCAGTTCTGATTTTTTCCTGCCTGAAAAAAGTTTCAATTATTTGAACACGTTACTGGCCGGTTAAAAAGTATTTAATAAAGTATGTTCCAATTTAAAATTTTTGTCTGAGGATGGTTTAAGAAAATAACTTTTTCCTACAATTTGTGGCGCGAACTCAAAAAAGTTAATATCGACTCTAAATAAGTAGTAGTTCATTTTATTGAATTATCTCTTTATACTGTAAGGTAGCAGGTAAACGTACTCGTCAACAACTTCGAACTTAGTGCTCCCAACAACTACCGGCGTGGGTGTGACATGGACATTAAACATGATATTTGTTTTGTCCATGTTCATCTTAAAACTTGTCCGTTGGGAAACACTATTGAGGTCATTGAGCATAGTGCCTAGGGCCTCCAGCGATTCTGCCATAAGGACTATATCGTTGGCAAATCGAAGATGAGTGATGTACTCGCCATTGATGTTAATACCGTATCTTTTCCATTTCAGTAGCTTGAAAACGTCTTCCAATGCAGCGTTGAAGAAGTTTAGGGGATATAATGTCACCCTGTCGTACACCTCTCTGCAGTTGGATAGGTTTCATACTCTGGTTCTGTACTTGGATAGCCATCGTGGCCGTACTGTACAAACACTTCAGCACTTCGACACACCGACAGTAAACTTGGCACCGCTGAAGTGACTGTAGCACTGTCCAAATTTCGATGGAATCAAAGGTTTTTCATAGTCCACATACGCAAGGCAGTGACAGATTGTACTCTTTGGTCTTCTGTACAATCTGCCGCGTGGTATGTATGTGGTCTATGGTACTGAAGCCTTTTCGGAAACCTGCTTGTTCGGTAGGCTGGAAGTCGTCGAGTCTGCGCGCGGGACGATTCGTAATGACTCTTGAAAACAGAACGTAAACGCAGCTCAGAAGGGAATCGGTCTGTAGTTCTTCAAGGAGCGTTGTCGCCTTTCTTGAAGAACAAGAGCAACGCACAACTACTCCACGCCTCCGGAGTAGTGCCACCATGAAGGAAGGAGTTCAAGACCTTCTGGAGGACTTTAAGCACGGTGTTCCACCCGCTTTCGAAAGCTCCGCTGTAATTCCATCCTCGCCTTACCGTATTTAAAGTACTGGAGAGCCATTCTTATCTCGCTCAGACTGACGTCCGGGATATCATCTGAATAGTGTCGGATAAGAATTCCTCTTGGATCGTTACTCACACTTGCGTGTGGCTCCAACGATGATGTGTACAGCTTCTCGTAGAACCTTTCAAACTCACTCAAAATCTCAGGTGTCCCGGAAACGATGCTGCTACACTCAGTCTTCAGCCTTGATAGTTAGCTTTTTCTGGCAGACAGATCTCTGGCAAAGACTTTGGAGCCCTGGTTCCGCTCGATCGCTTCTTTATTACGAGCAGTATTAAAGTTGCGTAAGTACCGTCGCGCCCCATGCATTTGGAGAGCTGTCTATTCATTTGCCTGTATTCTGTCAAATCTAGTGAAGGCTGCAGCCTCATTTCCCGTCTAACAGCCATGAGATTAAGAGTGTGATCGAAGAGTTTTTGTGTTATTCTGCGGCGGGTCTTGCAGAATTTAGGTCCGACCGAATGGACAGTTTCCATGAGCTTGTCATTTATGTCGTCTACTGTATTGTAGTCATCTAGGCACTGAAAATGGTTTTGTAACTCGAGCTGAAAGGTTTCGGGATTCTGGACTAGACACAAGGGGGACGGAGCGTTGACTTCATTAGACGAGATCTCTCCAACTTAATATTTGGGTTCAGTGTGACTCTAACCACTCTGCCAGTTTTCACTCTTGCAATCGCTGAGACATCACTGAACAGTTGCCGTCTAGTCGTCATAGTGAAGTCAATCTCATTATTTGTCGAACCGTCGGGGCTCAACCAGGTCCACTTGCTGTGGAGCCACTTCTGGAAGAAAGAGTTCATCATAAAGAATCCCCCTTTCTCCGAGAAATCGACCAGCTGCTGGCCCCTTGGGTTTCGTTGCCTTATTCCGAATTTCCCTACATTCGGCTCACCATTCTTTCTTGGGCCTAATTTTGGGTTGAAGTCTCCCTTTAACACCGTATAGTGAGTGGGTTTTGGACGAATACATGGCTCTAGCAATATCTATACATTTTCTCCACCTCCCCATCAGGATGTGCCGAGGTTGGTGCGTAAACCTGTATGGCCTTTAGCGAATACCATTTGATGATCATGAGTATAAGGTACGCAACCATCGTCGACACACTCCCAATCTTGACAACGTTCTTAACGAGAGACTTGTGCTACTTTCTAGATAATACTAGATAATAGTGTCGTCTATCAAATATGATAAAATCTGAGATGTTTTTTTCTAAGTTTAATTTCTAATCTACAAAAGTTTTAGTACATATTAGTTTTTTTTATCTATAAATAAACCGATAAAACTGAAATTATTTCAAAACTCTCATTTGCCTTATTGTTTAAATAAAGATATTTTAAATATGTATTGGCTACATCTTAGAATTAATAATATCATAAAGTAGTCGATCATTGCGAGAAATGATAGTATTTCATTAAATTTAACACTGTTGAGTTTATCATGATATAGTTTAATCAAATCAATGAATGGATATCGTTTGGAAATATTAACAACTCAACAGAACATTGATATTTCTTGACATTGTTACCTATATCTTAAAATATTTATATTACATACTGCTAGCAGCGCTAATAGCGTATTTTTGATAAAATCAAAACTTTGATAGAAGTGATTTACACTTTAGTTAGGTACTATAAAAATTATTTATTCCTACTAAAATGAAATAAAAGAAATAAAATGAACGTAAGAATTTTTAAATTAATAATAATTTAAATATATAAATCTAAGTTACTTATAATATTTAATTTATTGGTAACTGGAAACAAAAAGTTAATACTTTTTGTATTTTACGTTAGATGGCACTGTTTCTAATAAGCGAAACGTAGATTGATGGCTTAGCTTAAATTATTACGCAACGGTTAAAACTAATTTAAGGCTTTATTTATAAATATGTAATTTATTTTAAAAAACACATCAATTAACATAGAAATCAACATCTTGAGGAAGGAAAATACTTAGCCCTCCTTTTTTGAAGTTCCGTAATTAGATAAAAGTAGCCTATAAGTTGCCTCAGGTGCAGGTTGTTCAGTAGTTTTTGCGTGAATCGCGATTACACAGACAGACAGAAAGACAAAAATTCTAAAAACTACAAATTGGGCTTCAGTGACCTTTATTAAGTCCCCTGGACTTATTTTTCCACAAAATATCAGAATTATAGACACGACTGTTCTACGGATTTATTATATGTATAGATTTAAATTTGAATTGTATATTTGTTACATATTATATGTGTACATAATATTAATAAATTATAGATTAATTAAATTATAAATGCATACTTAAGGAATTTTTCTTCATCATCACTGGCATATTGAGGTTCTTGATTCTCTGGTATTAGTGGAGGTGTGTCACTACTAGTACTACCACTGCGTTTTCTTCTCCTACGCTTTTTGACTCCACGCCATATTTGCGGTAGACTCGATAATTTTCCTGGTCCAAATAATCGCGAAAACAAAAGAACCTAAACCAGAAAAACAGGTCTATTATATGTATGTCGTAGGATAATTAGATAAACCGACTTTTCCGCAAAAATCTAGGGATATCAGGAAAACACGGATAATTAGACGATTGGTCGAATCTGTTCTAAAACCGAATCAGCACGCTCTGACTCCACGTAGTCTTGTCTGCCCTACCCCATGTTTTGTAAAGCCGTAGGCGTGGAGCGAGAGCAGCCTCCACCCGTCGTAGCTAACTGCAGGCAGAAGTAGAGGCTGAGGCTGGTCGCCGAAGGTGGCCAATAAGCCAAAGCTGCGGAGATAAGCATGGGTGCCCGCGATTTGCTACGCAAGGGCGAAGGGGCTGTACTTCTTGCAGTGCTGAAGCTATTACAGAAGTAACAGCTTCAGAACTGCAAGGGTCAATTTTTGATCAATATTCCTGTGTAAAAAGTGAGGTTATGATTTTACAAAAGAAATCATTACTTATAAACTATACGCTTATAAACCAAAATTAAGCCAATCAGAATTAAGTATGTGATTAAAACTACTTTTACGGATTTTATCGCGTTTATTTTTACTTTTTATTTTTAATTCCCGACGTTTCGGGCGCTTTCCAGCACCCATGGTCACGGGGGACTGAGATGACTGACGTCCCGATGTCATTGTTAAACCCGGAGTACCTTCAGCTTTTTTAATTATTGTTTATGGTCCGATCTATGCAAAATGAACTGACTATGTCCTGAGGTCTTGCAGTGGTATGCTTGGGTTTAGTTTTAATTTTATTGATTATAGGATCCCAAGCAGGTGGTAGTACCCAGCCTCCTTCTCTATTGAAATTAGGATGTTTTTTAATTTCAATAGCCTCACGTATCATCCTTGGTAGGAATCGGTGTTCTTTCGTGAGGATTTGTGGTCTATCAAATCTGATGTAATGGTTGGGGCCGTCTAGAATATGATCACAAACTGCAGACTTCCCCCGTGACCATGGGTGCTGGAAAGCGCCCGAAACGTCGGGAATTAAAAATAAAAAGTAAAAATAAACGCGATAAAATCCGTAAAAGTAGTTTTAATCATGTGCAATGTTCGCGTAAATATAAGAAATCATTACAGAATTAAGTATATTCAAAATTGCAAAGCCCCTAATTTTTTTTCAGTAACATTGAGAAATTATTTTAGATTTTAGATCTAGATTTTTGCGGAAAATTTAGTTTATTTAATTATCCTACGACATGTATATTAAGTTGAACCAAAGAAGAAATAATATGTTTGTTACTAACAATCCCAAAATTTTAAAATATACATAATTTGATTTACTTTGTGTAATATCTTTGTAGAACAGTTTTGTTAATATATTTATTTAAATGCGCAATGCCTTTATTTTTGTTATTAATTATCTAGAAACGTTTCTCATGTAAATGAATTATATAATCATTATGAGAAAATCAAATTGTTAAAAATTACTAATTTCATTTTTTCTTGTTTCTTTATGAACCCATCAAAATCTACTACTGGACTCTATCCAGCTGCTTACAGCTGCTTCAATTATGTTTTGGTATACCGTATATTTACGATAAACACCATATGACAGGAGGATTGGTGATCGCAGCACCAGACGTCCCACACCTTTGATGCTGCTCTCCGAATAAAGGTCATGCAACCATCTACCACAGAAGCCATTCTCTGATATTTCTGGCACACTCGTATGGCCATCACGGCCTCTTATGACACCCACGGGAGGAAATGGAGTGATATTATGATGGTGTGTACCTACTTACAACACCACAACACGGCCAGTTATTTTCACTAATACAAGTTTTTGTTTATTTTAAAAAACCTTACCTCCACACTAGAATTTTCTCCTGTATCGTGGGGGCAGTTTACAAACATAAATTTCACAAGGACAAACATCCAGACCCGGAAAAATTACTTGTAGACCATACAAATTCTTAATCCGTTCGGGATTCGAACCCACGGCCCTTAGCGCTGTAACTCATTGCTAAGCCACTGCGCCACGGAGCCGTCACTAATACAAGTAAATTGATTGTTAATTGATAATATGAATTGAAATAATGATAACAACCTTTTTAAATGCAAAAACATAATTGCTATAGAAAAAGTGGGTAGGGAGTAACCTTTCTAGCCTGGCTATTTCTGTATTTCGTGGAATTTAAAAACAAGAAAACAATTTGAGGAAGACTATTCATAAATCCAAGTACTTACTTTATCAGGTCGAAAATCTGGAAAGAGTTCGGTGACATCAACATTAGCATACTTAGATGGAAGCATAGCAGCAAGCGGAGTTTCCAACTTCTTAGGCTTGTCTGTTTTCTGTTTTCTATCATGATACAATGAAGAATGTAACAATTAATAATTTATTTATTGCTGATATATAATTTTTAAATAATATTAGATATATTTTCGTTTATACTAACGGAACTGTTGAAGGAGGTGGCATGAGTCCACCATCGCCTTCCATATCTCCTTCATAGCCCTCATCATTATTCCGTTGTTCTGCTTCAATATCTTCCTCTTTAATAATATCATCAGTCTCCTTCCAATCTTCGTTATCCTCATTATTAGGATTATTAGGTTCATCCTGTGGACAATCACTTATACTATCTTTGCTCTGTGGCTCTTCATTTGTTTCATCCATTTTGGTATCCTCTAATTGTTTATCCAATTGTGTATACCCTTGTGTATCTTCATTTGTGCTATCAACTACTTCCTATTAATAACATACAAATTGTTAGCATACAACATGTGCTTCAACCGTATATACACAAGTGCAAAGCATAAGAATTTTAATTCAAGATAATTTGAAAAATAAATTAGTACAAGTGACAATACAGTAAATAAGCATTTTTTTATAGAATAAGGGTGACAAGTGTGCACACAGTCTACATGAGGGTAAGTGGATGCTGTGAATCATAGACTTTTACATCTACACTCAATAAAGAATCAAAATACAGATGTGTTTTTACCACTAAGGACTTAAAATGGAATGCTTCATTTCTAGTAAAAATGTTACAGTACTCTCTACACTGACCATCCAAACACACATCAGAATTAAGCTGCTATTTGATGCTAATATTATATGAGAGTGAGGCCCATCCCCGGTTGAGCTGACCTATTCATGCTACAACCATGATATCGCTGAAGCTTGGTTTCACTATGTAGAATTGTAGAAATATCAAATTGATGTAATGACTAAAATAATGAAATTCTTAATTTAATTTTCAATGGATATTTATATTTATACTAGATAATTTTTTATTTTCAAGAAACAAAAGTTTGCCAATAGAACACAATAAATACTGTAAAGAACAAAAATTTGTAACACTATGGAACTTGATCCAGTTCCAATCCTGGTGTGGGTACATCTAGTATTAACAAAATCCATCCATCCACGCCATCTACCAGGGCTGCACTAAAAGTATCGGGAATGGAATATTTCCACTGTTCCTGTCATATTAAAATCTTTTTAATTGAAAACTCCTTGGTTTTAAAAATCGAATACCATTTATTTATTTAAAAAAAGATTCTCAGTCTTGTCACAAGGTTTTGTCAAACTTGTTTAGTCGTTGAAAAAATGGAATTGACTCGAGAAAAAAGATGATTTGTTGTGACTTTCGAAGTGGTTTAACACAAAAACAGTGTGTTGACCGGATAATTTCTGCATTTGGTGATGAAGCCCATCCAAAACCACAATTTATCGCTGGTTTGCTGAATTTCAACGTGGACGTGTCAAGCTCAGTGATGATCCACATCAAGATCGTCCGTCACCCAAGCAGTCAATCCACATCAAGCAGTCACCCAAAAAAACGTTGATGCTGTGCGTAAGCTGATTGAGGAAGATCGACATGTGACATACCGCGAAATTCAGCCAACTTTAGACATTGGCATGAGTCAAATACAAATAATCTTGCATGAACAATTAGGTGTAAAAAAGTTGTTTCCCGATGGATACCGCATTCGCTCTGTGAAGAGCAAAAAGCGGCTCGCGTTACTTGGTGCGTCAGAACTCTCGAAAGATTCCACGCAGGATCCTCAAGTGCTGTATACAACATCGTATCAGGTAACGAATCCTAGATATACGCGTACGAACCCGAAACAAAAAACCAGCCACGAGTTTGGGTGTTCGAAAATGAGTTAAAGCCAACAAAAATTGTTCGTTCACGGAGTGTTGCAAAAAAATGGTGGCCATGTTTGTCCCCAAAACCGGCCATGTTACGACTATTCCTCTTGAGGGACAAAGAACGGTTAATGCAGAATGATATGCTAGCATTTGTTTGCCACAGGTCGTTTCTGAACTCCGTAAAGAGAACTGCAACCGCCGCATCATCTTCCATCACGACAATGCGAGTTTATAGAGCAAGAAAGCATAGAATTATTAGACCATCCGCCGTACAGCCCCGACCTAAGCCCTAATGATTTCTATACTTTCCCTAAAATAAAGAATAAATTGCGTGGACAGAGATTTTCATCACCTGAAGAAGCTCTGGACGCCTACAAAACGGCCATTTTGGAGACCCCAACTTCCGAATGGAATGGTTGCTTCAATGATTGGTTCCATCGTATGTAAAAATTTGTCAAATTTCGCGGAGAATACTTCGAAAAGCAATAAATACATTTTTAAATAATAATATTGTGTCACTTCCTTGATTCCCGAAATTTTCAGTGCCACCCTCGTATTGGTTTGACTTTTAATTATTTACACAAAAAAATTACAAAAATATTGAAAATGGTTTAAAATAATAATAATAAAAAATCAACAAAATGCAAATGTTAAATTAGAAAAGTATCTTTATGTATAATACTTAAAACTCAGTGAAGTGAATGCTACACACAATTAGTTTTCTGTGCCAACAGTAAACTATGCCAAATTTCTATCTTCAAAAATACCTTTGTTGCAGACAGGAAGAGAATAAGGTTCTATAGCTTTAGCACAGAACACTCAAAAGAAAACAGAAATTAGAGTAAAATAATTACATCACACTTCACGTCTTCAGCAACATCTTCTATGTCAAAAAAATCAACAGCAGAAGGGCTTTTGTCTCTATAATCTGTAAAGAACATTTGTATTAATGTAGTTATTTTTTTTTAAATATGTTATTCAATAACATTATTGATAAAAATATATTTAAAAAATACTAATGCATTGTTTATTATAGCATCACATGGGAAAATTTTAAGAATTCCCAAAAATTACTAAAATGTTTATTAAATTTTTAATAGAACTAAATTACTTGAAAATAAATTTTATTAAAATTTATTAATTTATGTTGCCATAACATTTAACAGCATTAAAAATTATGCCAGTATAGCCCAACGGATCAGTAAGCTGAAGTGGTTATAAGCAAGCCATATAGCTCGAAGAATACAACCAATGGGGATGAAGTCTCGAGTGGCAGCCTCATATTGGTAAACTATTAAAATATGCAAGAAGCAGATCGCTCAGGACTGTGCTGGTATTTTTTTAGGGGAAGCCTATGTTTAGCAGTGGACATGTGACGAACTGTAATGAAGATAACGATATTGTTATGCTCAAAAGACTGCGAGTCATTGTTGCTCAACAAATATACTCTCAATAGCTAGCACACTACTATACTATACTATTTGAAACCAGGTTTTATGCTTACTAGCACCAAATAAATAATACATTGTAGGTAATATAAACTGCTGATTTATCACATGCTAGGTGAAGAAAACGTTATTAGGAAACCTGCATGTTTGAGAAATTAAAAATATGTCAAGTACATGTGAAGTTCACCAATATGCATAAGGATAATGTGATAGTCCTTTTCTTGTTTCAAATCTGTATCAGTAATGAGAATGTCTCTGCCCAGCGGGATATATTACAAAGGTAGTTTGATAAGTCATTGACATTTTGAATTTCCAGCGTAGTAACTTTAATGGCAACACTGCTCCCATCAACTGTCATCTATTAATAGACTACTAACAAAATTTGAGCAAGCTGCGTTATTACATTTGTGTTTGACAGCCATTTAAAGCAGACAACATCATATATTTTAACGAAAATGGGAAAAACTGAATTTCGTGTGCTGATTAAGCAGTATTTTTTGCGTAAAAACACCATCACTGAAATCAAGGTAACACCCGATAAATATTATGGGCAATATACATCGTCAATTTCAATGATTGAGAAGTGAAGTCCGTTGTGGTTGTACCAGCACAAGTGACATGGAACAATCAGGTCACCTCAAAGCGCTTGTCACGTCAGAAGTCGTCGATAAAATCTATGGTATTGGATGATAGGAGAATGAAAGTGCGTGAGGTTGATGAGGCTGCAGGCATTTCAACTAAGCGGGTACATCACATTTTACATGAATTTTTGGACATGAATTGCTCGATGGATGCTGCGATTGCTCACACTCGACCATAAGCGCAACTGTGACAATTTCAAAAGAGTGCTTAGCCATGTTTAGCTGCAATTCGAATGAGCTTTTATGCCGTTTCGTAACTGTGGATAAACATGGATCCATCACAACACCTCAAAGACCATGATACAATTAAGACAGTCGGTTTCTATGGGTAAATGTGCACCAAAAAAAGGCCAAGGTTTTAACAGTGATAGAGCCACGCGGCAGCTTTGCTGTTGCACGTATGGGCCGGCACAAACCGGGGAAGTACGACCTCACAGAATACCAGCGTGAAGTGGAAGCTCAGCTTCCGGGTTTCATCTGGTGAGTGTAGGTGGCCGGAGGCCCAACCCCCCCCCCTCCCCCCTTAACATGGTAACGGAATTAAGTGAAGATCTACCCCAGGAGGGTATCAGCACCCCTGGAGAATCCCTCGGTGAGCATCCAGGACCAAGTTACTCCACTCCTGAGCATGGGTGCTCAGGCTGCCCTACGTATTCTAGGGATGAGGGCAAAATTCCGCTCAAGACAACAACTGCTTGGGGCAAGCTGAGGTGAATTTCTGCAATATCAGGGGATTTCATTCTAACCTAAACGCCGTCCACTACCATCTCGAGACGGCGAGGCTGACTCTGCTCTTTCTGACCGAGACGCAGGTGTCCTCTCCGGCTGATGCTTCATATCTCTCCTACCTGGGGTACAAACTGGAACACTCCTTTGTGCCTCGGGCTGCGTATGCGTCAGAGAGGACATTTGTTCTCGACGCCTCGGCAGTCTTGAAGGTTCGGACCTGTCCATCCTTTGGCTACGCGTAGACAGCGACGACCATCCGCGCGTCTGCGTGTGCTTCTATAGGTCCCATAGCAGTAATGCCAAAACAGACCGACTCTTCGACCACGTCCAAATGGCCACAGATTTGTTGCTACAGCAGATCCCTCTCCCGCAGAGATCATGATCCTCGGTGATTTTAACGCCCACCACGCCGAACGGCATAGTTCACGTTTAACCGATCATGCGGGGAGATCTGTTCATGACTTGGCCTTGGCATATGGTCTGACACAACTGGTTACTTCGCCTACGCGGATTCCGGATTTGGAGGATCATACACCTTTCCTGTTGGACCTTCTGCTGACCTCTCATCCGGACGGATATCAGATTTCCATCGACGCCTCTTTAGGCTCTTCGGACCATTGTCTTGTCCGGAGTGTGGTGCGCTGAAATCGCGGTTGCATACTGCAGGCTGACGCCGTGTTTGGCACTATAGGTCAGCCGATTGGGATAGGATGCGGTCTTTCTTTGCATCCTACCCTTGGAGGCGGGTTTGCTTCTCGTCGGATGATCCCAACATTGTTGCTGATTCTGTCGCTGATGTGGCTCACGGTATGGAACTTTTTATACCTTCCTCTGTGGTGCCCATCAGAGGCGAATCTCAGCCATGGTTTGGTTGTTCCTGTAAATTAGCATCATGCATAAGCAGGAGTGCTACCAAGCCTGGGTTGACGCATCAACGTCCCGGGACGTAAACACCAGCACTCTAAAAAAGAAGTATAAGTCCGCCTCCAGGTCCTTCAAAAGTCATTCAAGGCAAAGTCAAAGCACATAGGCAGAATTGGCGAGAAACTAGTTCGCCTTCCTTTCCCAAACCCGTGCATTCAGATCTCTCGCAAAGGCTGTCCAAGGGAATTTCTGTCAGCCATCTCTTCCATCTCTGCACAAGGAGGTCGACTCACTTGCCCATGCCGCAAAGGAGAAAGCCGATCTGCTAGGCTCTTTCTTTGCGTCCATCTCGACTCTCGATGACGGGGGTAGCCAGTACCCTGTGTGAGTACCCCACGCCGGAGGTGTGGTACACACAGCGCACAATTCGCAAAGCACTCCTCTCCCTGGACATCCACAAGTCGAGTGGACCTGACGGAATCCCCCCAATTGTGCTGAGGACGTGTGCTCCAGAGTTGGCACCGGTTTTAACGCGTCTTTTCCGGTACTCCTACTCCCTAGGCGTAGTCCCAAAATCATGGAAGACGGCTTTCTTCCACCCGATCCCTAAAAAAGGCGACCGCTCAGACCCGTCCAACTACCGGCCTATCGCCATCACCTCCTTGTTCTCCAAAACAATGGAGTCCATTGTAAACTGCCAGCTCATTAGGTACCTTGAGGATCACCAGCTGATTAGTGACCGCCAATACGGTTTTCGCCGTGGTCGATCTTCTGGTCTACCTGACTCATAGATGGGCAGCGGCAATAGAGTCCAATGGGAAGACATTGGCCGTTAGTTTGGACATTGCAAAGGTCTTCGATCGGGTTTGGCACAAAGCGCTTCTTTCGAAGCTCCCTTCCTATGGGCTTCCCGAGAAATTGTGCAATTGGATCACCAGCTTTCTTGCAGATCGGAGCATCAAGGTCGTTGTAGACGGTGCAAGCTCCGATTACAAGTCTATTAATGTTGGTGTTCCACAAGGTTGCATGCTATCACCAATGATGTTTCTACTGCATATCAATGATATGTTGCAAACCGGCAACATTCATTGCTATGCAGATGACAGCACTGGTAATCCTCTGTAAAGCGGCCGTGCCAATATTTCGCGGGAAAACGTCTCCCAGTACCGGGACAAACTTGTATCTAAGTCGAGTCTTTGCTGAACAAAGTCTCGGATTTGGAGTGACTAAATCTAGTCCAGTTTAACCCTCAGAAGACACAAGTTTGCGTGTTAACCACTAAATCTTGTCGTATCTCCTCAGTTTCAAGGCACTGCCCTTGTTGCCTCAGCAAGTATCGGAATCCTCGGCGTCGACATATCGAGTGTTGCAGTTTCGTGGTCACTTGGAAGAGAAGGCCAAATTGACCTCTAAAAAGCTTGGTGTGCTCAGCAGAGCAGGACAGTATTTCATGCCGGCACACCGCCTGCAGCTCTACAAGGCGAAGGTTCGGCCGCACATGGAATACTGTTCCCATCCCTGGGCTGGGGTTCCCCACTGCCAGCTCCTTTCACTTCACCGCATCCAGTGCAGAGCAGTTTGAATCGTCGACGACCAAGTGCTTTCCGATCGGCTCAATTCACTGGTGCTGCAAAGAGATGTTGCATCTCTTTGCGCATTTTATCGCATCTATTAAGGAGAGTGCTCTAAGGAATTGTTCGGATTAATCCCAGCGGCCAAATTTCATGAATGCACTATGCGGCAAACCTCCCGATACCATCCACACAATCTGGATGTTTGGCGTTCCACAACTGTACGTTTCACTAGGAGTTTTCTTTTGCATTCAACCTCTCTGTGGAATAGTTTATCTGGCCATTTTTACGAACCGATACGACGTGGGGACCTTCAAGAAAAGAGCTTACTTCTTTCTAAAGGGCTGGCAACGCACCTGCAATTCCCCTGGTGTTGCGGTTGTTCATGGGCTGCGGTAGTCACTTAACATCAGGTGAACCGTATAGTTGTTTGCCATAAAAAAGGTAGGTCTATTACCTTATTGATGGACTGGGTCAATAAGGTCATAGTCACAGTTTTCTGGGATGCACAAGGTGTCATTCACATCGACTACCTTGAAAAGGGTAAAACGATCAGCGGCGAATATTATTTAGAGCTTTGGACAGATTCAATATTGATTTGAAACATAAACAACTGCATTTGGTGAAGAAAAAAGTGCTGTTTCATCATGACATTGTGTGGGTGCTCACATGTGTAGTCACCATGGCAAAAATCCATAAATTGGGCAACGAACTGCTACGTCATCCAGCATATTCTCCAGATTTAGCCCCCTGGTTAAGTAGAGATCCAGATTTAGCCCATGCACTTTCCCCTTGCGGGAAAGTATAGTTTAAGAGTAATGTTTTTTTTTTTTTTTTGGAAAATCACAGCTTTACTTTTTTTATCATCCCTTCAACAGTCAAAAACGCCGGGATGGTATACACTGGACAGTTCAAACAGCCACTGCAGCTGTCACTGTGTTGCCGGTTTTGTAACCTGTTCATATTTATGGAAAGGCTTGTTGATAGACAAAGCTAAATAACAAATAATTGTTCTGTAATTTGTTCTCAAATTTGAACATTTGCCAGACAAAAATTGTCAAATAAATAGCACATATTCAGTACTTGTTCATTTTATCTCATATTTAGTGTTTTCTTTTCTATTATTAGTGAAAACATCAGAATATTGAGAAATATAAATTATCTTTAACATTTGCACCTAGTTTTGTGTTTTCATTCACATTTGTTGCGAAATTAATGTTTTTTTAATTTTTTGAGAAAATTAGGTATCATCATATTTAAACGAGTTTATTTCTTCGTTTTTGGCACTAATGTGAAACTATTTTGACCCAGGCAGTATTTAGATAGCCGCAATGGAATTTACTGTTGAAGGGATATACAGGAATATTGACCAATAGTTACTTTTGCAATGGCTTTGGCACTGTGGGAAGTGCAGCCCCTTTGCCCTTGCATAGCATATCACAGGCACTCACAATTTGCTACAGCAGGCGGGGGCCTGCATCTGCGCCTATGGCTTTACAAAAACACTCTAGGGGTAGGGTAGAAGATTATGTGGAGTTGGGTGTGCTGATTCAGTTCATGGGTGTTATGTGCAATTCATTTTTTTTGGAATTAAGTCAAAACGCATTTCCGAAATACAAAAACAGTGTAAAAATATCAAACCTCCTAAATTGAAAACATAATTAAAATCAAGCACTGGACGTCTACTTCATAATACTAAACCAAATTGACATATTTGTGAAAATATAATTAAAATCAAGCACCGGACATCTACTTCATAATACTATACGAAATGTTTGATTAAGCCAGAATATACTTCATAATACTAGACTGAATTGACATATTTGTGAAAATTGGATATTTATATATAATTGAATATTTGTATTTCATTATAAGTAATTTTTAGTGAAATTTGTTTTTGTCTTAATTCAAAATGCATTTCCAACATCCAAACAGTGTAAAATGTTCAAGGTTAACTCTGACAAGCACCCATAATTAAAATCTAAGACGGGACATCCATAACCAACCTGTATATCTTGGTATTTACATATTACGTATTTATATATTCTAACCAGATAGGAACACAATAGAAATACTCCAATATTTTTGTTAGTTACAGTCCACAGTTTGTTACATAAATATTACATAGAAAATGTAGTGATTACAAAAAATCAAGTCAATATATTGAATCTTAAGACAAACGGAAATAAGAGTCTTTTTTTTTTGTATTAATATTCAACATATTCACACCTTTTTCCTCGTCTTCTTCATTTGGTTCATCCTGCTCGAGCACTTCAGATAACATAGACCCAAGACCTAGCCGATTAAGAGAGGACAGCATGCGCTTCGACTCCCCGTCAAGGAGACCATCATCTTCAAGTTGTCCGCTTTCATCAATGTTTCCAAACAAAAAACCGGTCAAATCCATGCCAGAACGTCCATGGTCAGCTTGATCATCGCTATCACACATTGTAACTTAGGTACCCTTATTTTTATATATTATGAAAGCAATATATCTTACGAGCTAAAATTCAAATATTCACACTGTAAACTATTAGTGACACAAGTTGTGTAATATCACAGCGACACATTCAAACAAGCACCAACAAACAAAATAAGCTTGCTACATAGTTATTTATTTATCTACTCGCCAAATCGTCAATTTATAAATTTATCAAAATTTATAACGTGACAAATGACAATCAAAGACATTATTATTTTATTTATTTAAACTGACATTACAGCTCTGGGATCTAGCCCTTCTGAGCCGACCACAGACGGATCACAAGAGTATAGAGTACTCTGTGGAGTATAGTAAATATATGCAGCGTGCGAGTTTTGGCGGAAACTTGACCGTCGGTGGATTGTCGCTCCTGTTTTGTTGCTTAAATAATGGTTTGAAGTGGATTTTGATTAGTAAAAGTGATGCGATTGTGAAGGTCTGCCGTATGAATATTAGAGAAAACGACGAAACAAGAGCTTTGATGTTAATATAAACCTCAAGTTAATTTAATCGCTTAGATGCCTTATAAACTTGAGTGCTTGTCATCAACAGTCCCTTGAGTTGAGCTGTCTCAAATTGAAATCTTCCAAAAATTTCGCAATGTGACGCATCAGCATATGTTTTGTCGCTTAAATAATGGTTTGAAGTGGATTTTGATTAGTAAAAGTGATGCGATTTTGTGAATTGAGTGTCTGCGCGTGTGAACTATTAGAGAAAACGACGAAACAAGAGCTTTGATGTTAATATAAACTTCAAGTTAATTTAATCGCTTGGGTGCCTTATAAACTTGAGTGGTTTATTTATTTATTTATTTAAAAACTTAAACGTAACACCTTAAGCTAAAGGGGTACATAGGGCGGACTTAATGCCATGTGGCATTCTCTGCCAGTCAACCCTGGGTGCCAAGGACAATTGTTGGCAGGTGCGACCATTATACGTAAATAATTACATTAAAATATATACATACATTAAAATATACATATATGCAAAGTACATACATACACATTACATTTAAGTATATATACACATATAGTATAAATATACATACAATAATACATACATACATATATATAATATATATACATGCTTATAAACTTCGTAAATAAATATACAAATGAATGATATATATAATATGATGTTTGAATAATATATAATGAAATAAATATCTGAAGTAAAAAAGAAGAAATAAAGACAAAAATTAAGGAAAATAATGTTAATTAGTAGTTTCCTTCAGGTAATGTTCTCGGAGAAGAACTTTGAAGACTTTTTTATTTGCGGCATTCTTAATATCGTTGGGGAGGGTGTTCCAAAGTTGTATAGCTTGTATCGTAAAAGACGACCTAAAAAAATTTGACTTATGCTGTGGAAACCTTAACCTCAGACGGTTTGACTGTCGGGATGTTCGACCGTCGATCGGATGAAAAAAATGAAAATTATCCTTAAGATAAGAAGGCGACCTTGGATCGTTTAAAATTGAATAAAGTACAGGTAAAATTCTAGAGCATCGCCTTTGACGTATAGGTAGCCATTTAAGCTTTGAACGATAGGATGATATGTGGTCATACTTACGTAAACCAAAAATAAATCTTATGGAATTATTAAGAAGGCGCTCCAACTTGTTTAGAAGATTTTCTGATAGATCTGGGTAACATACATCGGCATAGTCAATAATAGGTAGAATAGGGAATGAACCAGCGTAAGTTTGGTTTTGAGAGGTAGGAAATTTTTAAGACGATAAAGGGAACGCAAGGTAGCAACAACTTTACGACTAACTTCAGAGGTCTGCAATTTCCAGGTCATAGTTTTATCCATGTACAGGCCAAGATTTTTTATGGAATCACAATATGGAATCAAAATTCCATTATAAATTACAGGAGAGAGATTTCCATAATCAACCTTAGCCAATAATTGCGAACTTCCGAATATGATAACTTTGCATTTGGCAGGATTAACAGAAACGCCATATTTACATGACCATTCTCTTATGGCTTCCAGGTTATCATTTAGTTTGTGTATTACAAAGTTAAGATTATTTAAGCTTGACTGTACATAAAGCTGGAGATCATCCGCTTACAGATGGTACGAACAATCTAAAACTGAGGAGATAGAATTTATAAATAAGGAAAACATAATAGGAGAAAGTATTCCGCCTTGCGGCACACCAGATTCAATTTCAGCCCATGCAGAAAACCGCTGACCTGAGCGAACCGATTGCTGGCGACCGCGAATATAAGAAGAAAACCATTTCAAGGCTGGGGATGAAAATTTAAGATGTTTAAGGATGGATAGGAGGATACCATGATCCACTGTGTTGAAAGCGTTTGAAAAGTCAATAAGCACCACCACTGTTAATTTTTGCTCATCTAAGCCCTTTCTTATATCGTCTGTGACTTTGATAAGCGAAGTGGTAGTACCGTGACCTGAGCGAAACCCCGATTGAAATTCATTCAGCAGGTTATGTTTTGCAGCGAATACAGATATTTGCTTAAAAACACAGGCTTCCAGAACTTTAGAGAGGTATGGGAGAATTGAAATAGGACGAAAATGGTTAGTGAAAACAGGATTAGATATTTTAGGAAGAGGTCTTACAAAAGCCTTTTTCCATGCAGAAGGGTATTGACCTGAGTCCAGAGAATAATTTATAATGTGTGTTATAGCTGGAATAAGGTACTCAAGAATCATAGACACCATTTGCCTACTAATTTCATCAAAACCCACAGCCTTGGATTTAATGGCTAACAGAGCTTTTTTAATTTCATCCCTAGTAATAGGGGAGAAACAAAAGTCAGGGATCCGGAGAGGCTGCATTGATTCTATAGAAGCAATATTTTGAGAACGGACTTGAGGGTCCAATGAAGTAATAAAAACAAAGTGACGATTAATGTCATCCAAATTGAGAGAGGCGCCATATTCCGGAGAATTAGATTTATTAATTCCGATAGACTTCAGGAATTTCCACAAATCAGTGGGCGAAGAATTAGTTATTTTGTCATGAATGTAGGGGCGTTTAGCATTTCGTACCACCTGATTGCATCTGTTTCTTAGCGTTTTAAAGTTAGACCAATTTTTTTCTGAACGATTCTTTTTAAACTTCTGGAAAGCCCGATCTCGTCGTGCCATTGCCACTTGTACCCCTTTATTCATCCAGGGAGCAGGAGGACGCTTAACTTTTACATAATGTACCGGAGCATGAATATTATACACGTTCAGGATGCTATTATTTAGAAAGGATATTTTATCATCGACGTTAGAAGCCGCCACCAAAGGGCCAAAATCAATTGAAGATGCGTCTCTCCTGAGACTCTCAATATTTATTCTTGAAAAATTGCGTAACTGCAGAAAAATAGGTTTCTGTTTTGGAGGTTTAAGTTTATATGAAAAATAAATCAAGTCGTGACGTGAGAAACAAGGAGCAGAGAGCTGCCCAAACTGAATCACGCGCTCAGAAGAGGAAGTAATGATGAGGTCAATCAACGAATCATCAGTGTCAGTATTTCTATGAGTTGCCGCCAATGGGAGAATGCAGAGTTCGACTGATTCAATGATTGATCGAAGTTTTTGGGAGCGAGAAGTATTTTTTAACAAATCAGTGTTGAAATCACCCATTATCATGCAATGTATGTACTCAGATCCAATGGTGTCAAGAGCCGTCTCAAGTGAGGTAAAATAATCCACAGAAGGAGGACAATATACAAGACCTAAAACTGCCCTAGCACCCATAATGTTTATTTCTAGAAATAAAAACTCAGCAGTGGCAGAAAATGGGGAGGGGGAAGATAGAACAACTTTATAAGGAATATTTTTTCGTAGGTATATAGCGACACCACCTCCCCCCTTCTCAGTCCGATCATTGCGTATAAGAATGAAATTGGGTAATGGGTACAAACTCGACATAATAGATGGTTTAAGCCAACTCTCAGATATTAAGATAGCATCGACACAGTCTAGTGAGAATGCTTCTTCTAAGTAGGAAAAATGACTTGGAATGCTCTGTGCATTAATATGACAAACATTAAAATATTTTTTATGAGGCAGAAAAATATTACTTAACTGATCGCGTAAGGGAAGTAAATTATCTGTAAGATCATTACCAGAGGCGTATGAGGAATCTGAACTATAAATGGAATAAAAAGATTCATCATGAGACATTATTAACTTCTATATAGATTTATATATAATATGTATATTAGATAATAATAAATAATAAAATATTAAATATGTTAAGAGATAAAACAAAGTCTAAGTATAAAATATCTACAACGCTATACGTATAAACCAGAAAATCAACTACTCCACTATCACTGCTCTATCCCATCAGTTGAGTGGTTGTCATCAACAGTCCCCTGAGTTGAGCTGTCTCAAATTGAAATCTTCCAAAAATTTCGCAATGTGACGTATCAGCATATTGTGAAGAAAAAATATATAATGAAGATTCTGAAAGAAATTGTAGGCTCAGAAGGGCTAGAACCCAGAGCCGTAAAGCCAGATAATAAAAAAATATGCAGCGTGGGGACTTCCTTTTTAAAAGCGGGAGGAGGGTAAATTTTACTTTTATTAATTCTGAAGTAAAATTTGCTAATTTTCATACGTAATAAAAAGAAATGCCGTCTGATAGTGGCGGCATGTATAAAGGCATGGATCATGACGCGGGCGGGAAAAGGAAACCGCCAAAGCATACAACACCTTCAACAAGAAAATGATGATTTTTATAAGGCATACTACCAATTAAATTATAATAGAATTTTCCCTGAGTCAATAGGAATGGCTGAATACGCAGTTTTTATTGAGAGTCGTAAAGAAGTTAAACTAGGCAATACGAATCCCTTAATGTTGACGGGAATTTACAAAAACTAAATCAAAGGAGTCACTAATATAAGAAGAATAAACGCTTCTAAAGTAGGGGTGGTGTTTGCGAGGGCGATAAACGCCAACGACTTTTTGAAAAATCAAAGCTTCATAGAGAAGTATGATTACAAGGCATTTATACCAGCAAGGGCGATGAAAAAAATCGGGGTATTCAAGTTGTATAAGTAATGAAGAGCTGTTTAAAAAATTATCATCGAAAATTAGGTCGTCGCAGTGCGTCGTTTCACAAAAAAAGTTAATGGACTGATCAAACAGTTCAGTTCTTTAAGTGTAATATTTTTGTTAGCCAACTTACCTGAATTTGTACATCTGGATTAATTCCAATATAGGGTGCATCAGTATATTGCACCGCTTTTACAATGGTTTTAAATACTTTATAATTAATCACGGAGCAAAAATTTGTGCATCAGTACAACGGTGTTCAATTTATGCAGATGAATATTGGTACAAGGAATGTAAGGAAAATGCGGTAATTAAATGCATAAATTGTAGCGGCCCTCTTGTCGCAATTTCTAGAGAGTGTCTAATAAAAAAACAAAAAATTGATAACAAAATATAATAGGTCAACTTATGCTAAAGTCTTACAAACAAAACAAACTCTAAATTTATTTAACAATTATAACGAAAATTTCCCTTCAATGCTAACAAAAAAACAATGGATTCAAAGACAATAGATCAACCACAAGTTAAATCTGATGACACTTCTAAAGTACACAAATCAAAGACGGAAAGTAATGTAACTAATGCCACAACTATTATTAATGACACTCTTATTGACCAAATTACAACAAATGACAATATTTTGAAAGCAATTATTAGAGCATTGGTGGCCATGGGTAACTCAGGCCGTAAACTGACTACATCATGTATAAAAGAAATGCCTATTACTGATCTTAAAAACAATAAAATAAACAATTTATTCGAATTTCACAATCGAATATCCCGTAAACCACAGCGAGGGCCCTTGGACGGAAGATGTGGCGAGTCAGAGTGCGAGTATTACGCCCATGGACCCCGTCACCATAACGCCGGAGGACGTAGTTGAGTCGGTCCGTACAGCCCCGAACTGGAAAAGTCCAAGACTCGACGGGCTGCATCACTACTGGCTGAAGGGGTTCGTGGTGTGTCACGCTGTGCTCACCCGACAGTTTCAAGAGGCTCTCAACCAGAAGTCGTTCCCTAACCTCTTCACTACTGGGATCACTCATTTGGTTCCTAAAGACCAGATTACCACAAACCCGAGTGAATACCTCCCCATCACGTGTCTACCCACAATATACAAGACACTAACATCCATTTTGAGAGAGAATCACTCGTCACCTGGACTCAAATCAGGTGATGTCGCGCGCTCAGAATGGATATCGGGGTGGTGGTCGTGGAACCAAGGAATCACTCCTCATTGACGCGGTCATTGGCAAAGTGGTGAAACGCAACCGTCGGAACTTCTGCGCCGCCTGGATAGGCTACAGAAAGACATTCGACTCGGTTCCCCGTACATGGCTAAAGAGGGTCCTCGAGCTGTACAAGATTGACATTACAGTTAGAGACACTCTCGAGCAATGTATGGGGCAGTGGAGTACAATCCTCCGTCATCTGGGTGAAAGAATGATGGCTGCGGAAAGCCGCATAAGGATAAGAAGGGGTATCTTTCAGGGCGATTGTCTGAGTCCAATCTGGTTCTGCCTCTTTTTGAACCCTCTCAGTACATTACTGGAGGGCTCCGGGAGGGGATTTCAGCTTTTGAAAGGAGTTACATAAGTGACAAACCTTTTCAATATGGATGACCTCAAGTTATTTCCCTCCAGTCGCTCCCATCTTGTGAAATTGCTAAATATCACTTGTGAATTTAGCAGTTCTATTGGAATGGAGCTGGGGATGGATAAGTGTGCGGTCCTCCATGTTGAGAGGGGAAGGGTTGCTAACTCTAAGGGCATAGACTTATCTATGCCCGTCAACTTAAGGACCCTTTCCGAGACTGAAACATACCGATACCTGGGTATGTCACAGAACATCGGTATCGATGAGGCTGATATATAAAACAGTCAGTTTGCGAAGTGTTTTATGCACACTTAACCAAAGTGCTTAACAGCCTTTTGTCCGGGTGAATAAGACACAATCATATAACGGGTGGCTCATGCCTGTACTCATATATACTTTTGGCATACTTAGGTGGACTCAGACTGAACTTTATAACTAGTCCGCAGTACCTACTATGACGTCCCGTAGGATGCATCACCCGAGATCTTTGATTATGAGCTTGTACTTACTGCGGAAATATGGCGGGCGAGGTTTTCTGAGCGCGCTCACCATGCATAATCGCGAAGTGTGCAGCCTCCGTAATTACTTTCTGACGAGATCGGATGATCCATTCTATAGGAACGTCATTTCTTGTGATAAAGGGCTTACCCCTCTATCCTCGGCCAACGAGCAATAGCAAGACCCGGCAGTACAGAGCATTTTCGACCGGGAGATGGTATGGAAGTAGAAGGAGCTCTACGGGAGGTTCTACAAGGCTCTATATGAACCTTTCGTAGACACAGTCGCCTCCCTCAACTGGCTACGTTTCGGTAATTTTTTCGGGGAAACCGAGGGTTTTGTCTGTGCGATATAGGATCAGGTTATTAAGACCAACAACTATCGGAGATACATCCTAAAAGATGGCACCGTCGACATCTGTCGAGCTTTTCGCCATCCCGGTGAGTCACTTAGGCATGACATCTCCGGTTGTACGGCACTTTCTAACTATGAGTACTTGCACAGGCACAACCTAGTAGCCAGAATTCAACACCAGGAGCTTGATTTGAAATACGGTCTCGTGGAGTGGAAATTGCCGTATTACAAGTACTTGCCGGAGCACGAAAATGACCCCGCCAGACTCTACTGGGACCGGGCCATCATCACAGACAGGAATATTCTTGCGAATAATCCTGATATTGTGCTGATGCTGCACCGGGCATAGTCAAGGATATGTTTGGTCGACTTTACCATTCAGTATGACGAGAACCTCGTGAAAGCCGAAACAGATAAGCGTACAAAATATCTGGACCTGGCTCACGAGGTGACCGACATTTGGGGTGGGCTGTCGATCGAAATTATATCTGTAGTCGTTTTTGCAAACGGGCTAATTCCAGTCAGCCTCTCGAGTCATCTGAGGCGACTGGGACTCCGTGACGGACCGCTCCGGGCTCAAATGCAGAAGGCGGTGCTCCTCGATACCGCCCACATTGTCGGCCGGCTTCTTTCCCCTTCCTCCTAACCCTCGGCCCTCGGTCTCCCCTGCCGAGGGCTTCCATTTTTATGTATTTATTTTATTGATATTTATGTATATTTATCATTTTCATTCACAATAATATATTTATGGAACCCAATCAGATGAGAAAATTATATAGATACGCCAAAAAAATCATTATTTCAATCCATCAGATAATAGTAACAGTAAGTAGTACATTTAAAATGAAATTTACATTCTGAAATACATATGAATTAAGTTAAAATAAAATTGAGTTATATAAAATTTAAATTATTAATAGTCAGATTAAAACCAAATTAATTAATTTAATATAAAAATTAATAATATGCCCGCCTATGAGTCATTTGTTTGTTTGTCCTTACATTAATCATATAACAATGATTAATGTATTGACAATCAAACCTGTTTGCAAATACGCCCAAGATGGTGTTGGAGGTGGTCCGGAGCCTGCGCCTCAGAGATGTGCACCGTTTTTGTATCGTCGTGTAGAATTATAAAAGTCCTCTGTGGTGTAGAAACAATCGACACTTGATACTTGATTATAAAATTGACTCGAATTTTAATACATTTTCAAAAGGTTTTCAGGCAGCTGCGCCGCAATCATTGTAAATTTCTAAACAAGAATTAGCGAATGTGGAAAAAATATAAAAGTCCCTAAAAATATAAAGCCCCTTAAAAATCTCATCCTTCTTATTTACCCCCTTAATTTAGGAAGAAAACTCCTAAGTTAAACACTAAAATAAATTTGACCTACCATTAACACTCCATACTTACCACTAACCTCCATAAACTTGACAAGTGACTAGCAAGACAGTATTGTTTTAAATCACAAGGTGCTGCCCTCACCACATAATGTTTATTTTTTAACAAATGTATTATTTTTGTACAACGAATCAAATGACGCAATAGTGACAGGGCGACTTTTTTGCCAGAATTCTTGTAACACATGGCGTGTTATCCTACACGGCCTCCATTTCTACGTCCGAAACTGAACTAGAGAATCCGACACGTAGGAAAACATGCACTTTGAAACGTAAGATTTCTTGATCTCAACGCCGAATCTGTTAGATGGCTCTACCATGGCATTGTATTGACAATGGTAGGATGGAAGGCGCATTACATTGTGTCCAGCTTCCTTAGTCATTTCGTCCAATACGTTTTCCGGTCTAGCTGGCTTATTTATAGCAGCCAAATGCAGCAGCTCAACTTTTAACATGGACATATCAGCAACAAAATTATTGTCACTCAGCCATTTCACAATATCGGCTTTTTTGCTGCTAGAAGTTGGAGGCTTACTTATTTGTACCGAATGATACGGTGCATTATCCATAATGATCGTCGATGGCTCATACAAGTTGGTCAATAAGGTACAAAACCATTCCTTAAATTTAACAAAATTCATCTCTTCGTGGTATTCCACAGTTTTCTTAGATTAAACGCCAAGAGGCAGTTCGGAACAAATCTCTTCATGGAACCCGCATGACAAATAATTAAGCGTTCGCCTTTGCCACTAGGTACTTTTGAGGAGGAGCGAGGAGTGTCGTCTGTCCATATCTTGCCAACTGTACGATTAGCATTTAGCTACGTCTCATCTAGAAATGTAACATTATTCCAAACGGCGATGGACTTTGCTGATCTTAGAAAATTAAATCTGGCTAAATCTATATGTCTACGTTCCATCAAAATCAGTCTTTTATCACATTTTTTATTAGAAAAGCCAACATTTTTTAAAACCCTCCAGAAAGAAGTTCTACTGCCGTGAAACAGTCCAGATTCTCGTAAAGTATTTGACAATTTATCGAGAGTCGGCAATTCGTTCATACTATAGTAACCATAGATGTGGTTTCTAATGGCGTTGTCAATATTGTAGATATGTGTAACTATCGATCTTCTAACTTTTTTCTTAAGTGGCGATTTCAATTTGTTATCTTCCATTAAATCTTTACCATGTTTTCCTTACTTATTCGGGAAACAGATTTTCGACTTATACCAAGAGCTGCATTTACTCGGTTAGTCACTTGTGAAAGTGGCAACAATGGACCACCATTCTGATACTCTCTTTCAAAGTAATCTTGTAGGCGTACTACAAACTCTCGCGCTTGACTGCGCATCACTGTTCTTTTAGTGGTCTCAGTTTCGGCCGTAGTGTTCATAAATACAAAAAAAAAACAAATCAAATAACAGTCAAAACTTAATAACAACGAAATAATTGAATAAAACTATTATTTACGGATTTTATCGCGTTTAATTACTTTAATTTATTTTTATTATTATCCCGACGTTTCGGTTGCTTTACAGCGCCCATGGTCACGGGGGGGGACTGAGATGTTTGACGTCCCAATGTCATAGTTAGTCCGGCAACCTTCAGTTTTTTAATATTAATTTTTGGTCCGATTTACGCAAAACGAGCTTATAGTATCATGAAGTCTTGCAGTGGTATGCTTGGGTTTGGGTTTAATTTTGTTGATTATAGGATCCCAAGCAGATGGTAGCACCCAACCATCTTCTCTATTGAAATTTGGATACAAAGAGATCTATAAAAACCCGCGTGAAGGAACATATGGCTGATGTGAAGCACCGACGCTCCGGGAAGTCTGCAGTCTGCGAACATGTTCAAGATCGTCCCCACCATTACATTAGATTTGATAAACCACAAATTCTCGCAAAAGAACACCGATTCCTACCAAGGATGATACGCGAGGCTATTGAAATTAAAAAACATCCAAATTTCAATAGAGAAGATGGTTGGGTGCTACCATCTGCTTGGGATCCTATAATCAACAAAATTAAACCCA